TATAAAATGTAATTTATGCCTATTATCAAAGCTGAATTTTCAACATCATTACTCCAGTTAAAAAAGAACAGTATTTATTTGAAATAGAAATTTTTTGCAACATTATAAATGCATTTACTGTCACTTTTCATTTATATAGTAATGCATCCCTGCGAAGTAAAATACTAAGTAAAAAAATATCGTTTGACACCTTAATGGCTGAGATGAGAAGACTGGGCTTTCTTTTTATCTTGTTGCTTTCTCCGTTTTCGTCCCTGTGCATCAGAGGGTTTCGATCAACGCGCCAGCAGCTGAGCACTTGCCTAACGTAACGTAACGTAGCGTAACCCCCCGTTAGGAAATTATCGACAATGAACGTGTGGCTGAGGGGGCGCCTTAGGATGATCATGTTTAATAAACGTGTTTTCGTTTAGCTTGTCATTCTAATTCTGTGATTAATGGGAAGTAGGCCAAGGGCGACACTAGAGGGCGCCCGCGCCCCCAACACATTTGTCGCCCTAGGCAACCGCCTAGTTCGCCTATAGCAATCGCCGTCCCTATGTGTGTGTGTGTGTGTGGGTGTGTGTGAACAGAGGAGAGTCTGCTGGAGAAAGAGAACGAGACAGAGCTCGTAATAAAACAAGAATCAACATCAGCTTGGCTTTCAGAGATGGAGAACTGACGGATTTGAAATGGAGGCGTGGAGATGATGGTGTTTTATTACTCAACAGGAGAGTAAGTGTTTTATTGAACAGAGAAACTGTCATATGTGTCTCTCTAACAGAATTCACTGTAAAGCATCATCTATTGTGAAGATTATTTCATTACGATCGGTTGTTTCAGCTGTGCAGGAGTTTATTTTCAAGGAAGTAATGTATATATATTAATGTGTAAAACTACAGTAACGTCTTCAGCTCGAGATCCTTCCCATCTAAACTGGTTATATCTCTGACGCCTGGCAGGGAATGTTTTATCAAAAGTATGATAATCATATTCATCCGCACCGAGCCGAAGCACAGCCAAAACAATGTTCCTCCGTAAAATACATGCAGTTTTGTTTTTAACCTCTAGAGGGCTAAACGTTACACAGTGTACCTTTAGGCTTAGCTAAAATGCAATAACTACCTACCATCAAAATCAACAGAATGTTCTAACGTTACACTCTTTGGTGAACATTACATCGATGTTGTGTATATGTATTAGTTAAAATAACGTTAGTGATACGTCCTTATTAGTATTTGAAAAAGTGCTCACGATGTTAGGAGAAAATATTCAACATGCAGCATTTCAACATTCTTTAACAATCTGTTTTAGTATTGTTTATTAGTTATTTGATGTTTATTTATAGTTTAGTTTTATTTTATTTTAAAAGGCTTAAAACAACATCCTTGCAAATGATGGAAGTATTTTTTGTCTTAGTTCCCACAATCATTCAGATGCAAACGTTCAAATCAAATAAACAAGGTGAGATGAAGTTAATGGTGTATATACACTGAATAGCACGACTCATTATTTGGAACAAAATTTTTTTTTGAATTTGAAAAGTTGTTCGATTTTGTTTGTTTAAATAACATATATACTGTAGTCATAGCAACAGTAGAATGGTGTTATGCTGTTCCTGGAACCTGGACTGACCTCTTAAATCTCGCTTCTGCATTTCTGTCAAACATTTGCTCATTCTGACAAAAAAAGCCTCTAAAAGGTCTTCCTGTCCCTTTTACTGGCTGTGTGTAACAAATAAGGGTCATTGTCAAAGGGCGTAAAACTGGCTGGATCTGAATGGGCACTTCAAACGGTGGGAAGACAGAGGTCATGTGGGCCGATTCACAGGAGACTGTAAACGCAGCGCAGACACACTGATGCCAGTACAGCACATTTATAAGGCTTACATGATTCAATGTTATGTAAAATCATATGCAGATTCACTCACTCATTCATTAATTTACTCAGTCACTCATTCGTTCATTCATTCATTCACTCACTCACTCATTCATTCATTCACTCATTATCCCTACTTGAATTTTTCATCATTCTTATATACAATATATGTGTACATATTTATATGAAGAGGGTTATGGTCTGATTATTGTGCAATAATTCATATATAGTCTTTGCTCTATATGATTGCAGTTGTTTTATTCATTTAGTTAATTTGCAGTGCTTCATTGTAATTAATTTCCATTTAACTTTTTTAAATTTCATATAAAGCCAATTCATCTTTATTGTGATATTTTGGCTAAACATGCACTGCAAATAACTTTAGTTACGTACTAGGATAAGTAATAATAAGGATGTAAGAACATCTATGAGTGTGTCTGAGTGTTTAATACTCAACCTCCAGTTCAACAGCATATGTTGTATCTCAATCAATCAAACTGATTTAATCCCTCAGGATGTTTATCGATGTTATTCAGTGTGTTAATGAAACCGGCCGACTGCAATGATTCAGTTCAGATCCTGCAATCTCCATCACTAAATCTTCCTAAAGACCCTCACTGATCACAGATGGTTTCCACCATCATGAGCTCATCAGTCCAGTATCATAATATGTGCCATATGCTTCTCGCCGGGAGCTCTCACGTCGCTGTCAGTCAGAAACGAGGGTTGTAATTTCTCCCAGAGTCTCTGGCTGTGAGTTGAGTTGTTTGTAGACTCGAGATTTCATCATGTAGACGCTGCGGCTAAATATTTTGTTATGCTCCGCAGCGGAGCATTGATATTCTGAGTGGATTTGTGGGCCATTTTTACTGTGTGTGTGTGTGTGTGTATGTGTGTAATTGCAGTGAAATCATCAACACCATCCGTGGAAGTGTTTCTGTTAGTGTTACCCAGTGTTGTGTGTCTTGTGCAAACAGACTTCTATTTACGTATTGTAGAGTTAAAGCAATTTTATGCAAAATATTAATTTATGCAAAATGTACCTTTTACATAGCATTTGATTTGAACATAAATGTATGTCGGCAGTGTGTGTACACAACCACCATATCATAGTAAAAATCCACCCACTCTTTTTTTAATCCCCATAAGCAGTGTCTCAGAATAAGCCGTTTGCAGATTCTAGCAATGTGACGTGACATATGCTTAAGCCACGCCCACAATTGCTGAGAGACTCCGCCCTATTAGCATAGACCCGCCCTAAATGATCTGCACACAGTCCGCCATGTTTATCTCCTCTCCAGAGTATTTAACAGCAGCATTCAAGTAAAAAATGTATTCTTATTAAAGTTACTAAAGTTATTCAATCAAGAGTAGTGATTGATTTTCTGTTTTTCTTTTATTGTTTGATTCATATTAACAGCATATAGCAGTAGGTACTACATATTACGCTGCTTTTACTTTAATACGCAGATCTAATATACACATGCGATTTCTTTACTTGCTGTTTACATTCTCGGACATAACCGACTATGTGTATGTGTACTTTGTGTGTTTTTGACATAACCTTTTGTGTGTTTGACAGTTTAAGCGCAATAAGACGTGAAAGAGAACTTAGTTTAATACTCACGGGAAGCGTCGTCTGACATCCAGCTTTCTGTGCTTCAGAGGTGTGCGTTCAGAAAACCATATATAAGTTTAAAACTGATATGGCTTTAAATCGCATGCTGATAATAAACTTTCATGAGGATGAAGAACTGCAGTGTCACATAATCGTGAGCGCAATATAGATGATAATCAAGTTTTGTTCGTTTTTTTAAGAGTATCCATGGCACGAGCTGTAGGCTCCTCCCCCTTTTGGGAAGTGGGGTGGGTAACAGCGGCTCATTTGCATTTAAAGATACATGCACATAAACAGCATGCATTTCCTTTCACTCAGAAATTGGGTATTTACAACATGGTATAATAAATGATCTGTGGGGTATTTTGAGCTGAGACTTCACAGACACATTCTGGGGACACCTGAGACTTATATCTTGTAAAAAGGGGCATAATAGGTCCCCTTTAACAAAAGTCATCCATGAGCATTGTATTGTTTGAAGCGTATGTCATAACAAATGTCAGTGGACCGAAAAGCTTTTAAAACCACGGTTCATTCATAAATCTATAAGATCTTACCTTCATGCTGTGGAAATACAAACCGGAAAACAGAACACAACGAGCGCAGCGCTGCAAAGGGGCGGGGCTACACATAAGGTCTATCGTTTTACATTTTCTGAAGAAAATAAGATGTTTGCACATACAAATCTCACGTCTACGATGCTGTTGTGGACAGTTGCCAGGGACTTGCTAGGTGGTTGCTAGGTGGTTGTTGTGATGTTCTTAGTGTTTTTTTTTAAATGTTGGTTGGTGGTTTCTGCAGCATTGCTATGGTGGTTTTATCACATATTGTATCGTTGCGGCTATGTTGTTTTGGGTGGTTGCTAGGGAGTTGCTATGGTATTTTCAGTAGTTTTGCTTTTGAGTGATTTTTAAGATGTTATGTGGCTGCTAGGGCACTGTGAATGGTTGCTATTGTATTCGGAGTGTTTTTTAGCATGTTGTTGGTGGTTGATTTGGTGATCTGAGTGTTTTTTAGTGTCTTGTTGGTGGTTGATTTGGTGATCTGAGTGTTTTTTAGTGTCTTGTTGGTGGTTGATTTGGTGTTGCAAGGTGGCTGCTCAAGTGGGGTTTTTTTTGTATGTTTGTTTCTATGTGGTTTCAAGGTTGTAACAGTGATATTTGCGCACACAAACACTACAAATGAACCCAAACCAGTCCATTATAATCTTGGTTTGTTAGATAATTCAGTCCAAATGAATCTAAACTAGCCCATGTGTAATATGAAGTGTTAGTGCGCACACACACACTTCCCGCTGTCTCCAATTTACAGCTCAGAGAAGCTGGTGAATGCAGTCAGTGTGATTTTTTTTTTCATAAATATCTCTTATCTCTTGCTGTTTTTTTCCTCTGGGACTTACAGTATGATGTCATTTCCTTGGCACGAGTTCTACTGGCTGATTGGTCCATTTTTTTGTGCATATGTCACAAGATCGAACAGTCAGTTTTCTTTCCAATCATCACTGAGGTCATATTTCTTCTTTCAGGTACCCGTTCCCTACAGTCTTCAGTACATGCAGTAAGAAGGATCTAGCCGCGAGCTTGGAGAAAGGTGTGGGCATGTGTTTGTTCAACATGCCGGAGGTGAAAGTGCTCTACGGAGGCCAGAAATGTGGAAACGGATACGTCGAGGAGGGAGAGCAGTGTGATTGCGGAGATGTGGAGGTACATGAGACCCTGTGTGTGTGTTTTGTGTTTAAAAACATATTTCATTCAGACGTTTACATGTTTCCCACAAGTGCCGCACATTTTCACACTCTCCAGTGAGTCGTGCATCATTAGCAGTCGACGAAATAAACAGTTTCTGCAGCCTAGTGTTTTCTGGGAGCGTGCTGTGAGAAGAAGCAGCACAAGATGTGGTTTGGGAATAAGACACATCTGTCACACCGGACCGGGAGCTTTGGAGAGGACCGCAGAGAAAAGCCTGTGTTTGTGTCAGAGCGCTTCAGGTGTTTCCTGGAGGTTTAAATCTGTTCATTGATGTCTTTGCCGAAATGTTGCTGGCAGTGCAATATAGCATAGCAAAGACATAACAATGTTCTGTGTGTGTGCATCCGTCAACAATGCTCATGTTAGATTTATGTCACATGAATTTCCACGTAGTCAGCAGTCAGAAAGAAGCATCTGGGAAATTATTTAAGTACTTTAAAATGTCTTGCACACATATGCAAATGTACTTGAGTCACATTTCAATTAGGAAAAAGTTCTGGAATTTTTACACCTTTATCACCCAATCTCCTTTGTGACATCTTTGGTGCCCAATCTAGTCAAGTCACATTTATTTTTATTGCGCTTTATACAGTACATATTGTTTCAAAGCAGCTTCACCGTACTAAATATAGAAAAGATAGTATGGCCAGAAAAACTGGCCTAGGATGCTGTCACTGCATAAAGCTATCAAAACATCATCAGTTTGGTTAAATTGATTGTGCAAAATCTGTTGCAAAATCATTTCTGTTATAATCGATCTCTGTCATGACTTTGGTAGGTCACATAATAATGACAACATGGCGAATGTATAACTTCCACATTACATTCATTCATACTATATAAAATTAAATTTTTTAGCGATTGTGAAGTAATTATTCAAGAGAGAATGCGATTTCGACGCAGCCATGGATGTAATTTTCACTGTTTTCACTGTTATACTGTAGAGGGCGCTATCTTCTGAAAGAGTACAGGACCTCTGGATCAAAACACAGGCGAAGAAACAGCAGAAACGTACAATAAAAGCATTGCTTATGCATGCTGTAATCTTTGACAAAAATTCTAATTTCTCAGCTTTAAAAAAAAAAAAATATATATATATATATATATATATATATATATATACACTCACCGGCCACTTTATTAGGTACACCTGTCCAACTGCTCGTTAACACTTAATTTCTAAGCAGCCAATCACATGGCGGCAACTCAGTGCATTTAGGCATGTAGACATGGTCAAGACAATCTCCTGCAGTTCAAACCGAGCATCAGTATGGGGAAGAAAGGTGATTTGAGTGACTTTGAACGTGGCATGATTGTTGGTGCCAGAAGGGCTGGTCTGAGTATTTCAGAAACTGCTAATCTACTGGGATTTTCACGCACAACCATCTCTAGGGTTTACAGAGAATGGTCCGAAAAAGAAAAAACATCCAGTGAGCAGCAGTTCTGTGGGCGGAAATGCCTTGTTGATGCCAGAGGTCAGAGGAGAATGGCCAGACTGGTTCGAGCTGATAGAAGGGCAACAGTGACTCAAATAACCACCCGTTACAACCAAGGTGGGCAGAAGAGCATCTCTGAACGCACAGTACGTCGAACTTTGAGGCAGATGAGCTACAACAGCAGAAGACCCCACCGGGTACCACTCATCTCCACTACAAATAGGAGAAAGAGGCTACAATTTGCAAGAGCTCACCAAAATTGAACAGTTGAAGACTGGAAAAATGTTGCCTGGTCTGATGAGTCTCGATTTCTGTTGAGACATTCAGATGGTAGAGTCAGAATTTGGCGTAAACAGAATGAGAACATGGATCCATCATGCCTTGTTACCACTGTGCAGGCTGGTGGTGGTGGTGTAATGGTGTGGGGGATGTTTTCTTGGCACACTTTAGGCCCCTTAGTGCCAATTGGGCATCGTTTAAATGCCACGGCCTACCTGAGCATTGTTTCTGACCATGTCCATCCCTTTATGGCCACCATGAACCCATCCTCTGATGGCTACTTCCAGCAGGATAATGCACCATGGCACAAAGCTCGAATCATTTCAAATTGGTTTTCTTGAACATGACAATGAGTTCACTGTACTAAAATGGCCTCCACAGTCACCAGATCTCAATCCAATAGAGCATCTTTGGGATGTGGTGGAACGGGAGATTCGCATCATGGATGTGCAGCCGACAAATCTGCGGCAACTGTGTGATGCCATCATGTCAATATGGACCAAACTCCCTGAGGAATGCTTCCAGCACCTTGTTGAATCTATGCCACGAAGAATTGAGGCAGTTCTGAAGGCAAAAGGGGGTCCAACCCGTTACTAGCATGGGGTACCTAATAAAGTGGCCGGTGAGTATATATATATATATATATATATATATTTCATTTTTTCTGTGTAAATGATCAAACATGCTGGCAGTGGCTGGCAACTTTTTTTTATGCTGGCGGGGAAAGAGGAAAGTATTTACAATAACTTAAAAAAGTTTGGAATCAGTAAGATTTTATTTTATGTTTTTGAAATCTGCTCACTAAGGCTGCTTTCAGTTAATCAAAATGCAGTAAAAACAGTAATATTGTGAAATATTACAATTTGAAACTTGTTTATGTGTATATATTTTAAACTGTCATTTATTCCTGTGATCAAAGCTGAATGTTCAGCATCATTACTCCAGTCTTCTGTGTCACATGATCCTTCAGAAATCACTCTAATATGCTGATTTGCTGCTAAAGAAACATTTCTGAGTATTATCAATGTTGAAAACATTTGTTTTTCTGTTGAGGAATTGTTGTGAATCTGTGTGTCTGTAGGAGTGTCTGAACCCCTGCTGTAATGCCAGCACATGCACACTGAAGGAGGAGGCTGTGTGTGCGCATGGACAGTGCTGTGAAAACTGTCAGGTGACTCGTGACATCCATCATAATTCATCTTATTTGTTGCACTTATTTAACAAAATAAGTAAATAAAAGTCTACATTATCCTAAAGCAATACTGATTTTTATTATTTAAAATAACATGCACTGATGAATCATTCACAATAAGGCCAGGAACATTAAGAAATTGAGATTCGAGTATTAAAGTAAACAGTCAATTTGATGTTGCCTGAAAGGACTCATATTAAAGCAACACTAAGTAAGATTTTTTACCTTAAAATAATGTTTCCAAAATCGTTTCATTAAAGCCTAGTTTTCTTATGTCTCATTAAAACTACAGAAACGCGACCCGATCTGGCAATGTTACATAGCGTGGTTATAGCAGATATAGGACCGCAAAGCCAATCCAGAAGTGCCTTTCACCCTGTTACGACTAAAGCCTAGTTCACACTACATGATTTTAAAACGTCGGGCTGAACTGTGCGGTTCACACTACATGACTTGCTCTCTGTGAAATCAGGAGTGTTCAAGTTGTTGAGCTGTTCACACCACACGACACAACGTGATTGATCCGCAACAGGAGGTAACGCACTACACGAGTTGACAACAACTCTGTCACCCAACGATTCTATCTTGTCTACAAACCACGTTTTGTCACGAAAAATCACGCGATAAAACGAACCGGAAATGACGCGAAACAGCACGCGCGCCAATACCCGGTGACCTCAACCCATGCCTTGCTCTGATTGGCTGTAGCTCATGACATCACGTGAGGTTGAGTCGTGCGACAGCTCTGGATATCTAGCATGCTAGATATTTTTCTGGGCTCGGCGAGGCGTCTGCGAGCGTCTTTGATGCGTTGTTGGCTCTTTCATACTAACAGATTGGCGAGCGTTCATCGCCCGCTAATCCCCCGCGATTTGGGCGCGATAACACCCTGACCTGACGGCGAGCTCAACGATTTGCAAATCGGGCTTAAGGCGAGACACGGCAGGCAAAAACATCGTTTTTTTTTCATTGGTCAATTTTGAGATTTTGGGCTATTTGTCTTCAATAACATGTCTTCTTTCAGACTTGTGCTGAAAAAAAGTCCAAAATACACATTTAGGTATTTATTTTACTACACTTTGTCTGTTTGCGTGTGTAGATTTCACATAAATTCATCAAAAGTTGGCGTTCTAAATCATCCCTCTGCTCCGCGGTCGCGATCTGCACCCTGTCATCACACACACCGTTAGAAAGCTCTCTCTCTCCTTTGCAACGCTATCTGATCCAAATATGGTCATTTCCTGTTTATCAGCAACCAATCTTGAAAGTAAAACCAGCGATTTAACTCGAAATGCACATCTCATTGGCTGATGTCAATTTCTGACAACGTGATTCGTTCAGAATCATCACGTGACGCGCTCTGACATTATATACATGCATCACATAATACTATACTTTACACGCTATATATACAAAACAATTACATTACACAACACATTTCAGTTTTTGTATAATATAATTACTATATAATACTTACCAAATCTGTAATTGTGGGATCCTAAAGTGGTTGTGAGTTCCTCAGGCAGAAACATATTCACCTGTGTGATGGACTGTTGAAGTGTTGTTTTGGATGTTATGATCAGTGATGGATGAAGCAATGATGAGTTTTGGATGTTAAACAGTGTGATACATTGATTTTACTTGGACCTAAAGCATATTTTGTCTGTAATTCATGGCTTTCAATAGAAATTAGTGGAATTTTGCCATACAAATCTTTAAAGGCCGTTTTCTCAAAATGAGTTTTTTCTCACACTCCTAGTGACGATTTTCCACTTCAGTAGCACCTACATACACCAAACTTTACAGTCCTATTCCTAACTATATTGTGAAGGTTTGTTCAGAGGGATTTGTTGATATATAATTTTTGGCCTGATTTATATGACATTTTATGCCTAAAAATAGGGCGGAAATCAATTTTTTAAGACTATTGGCAGTATTTTCTGATTTACAGGGTAACAAAAGGAGATATTCATAATCCCCTCTGAAAATGTCTTTTCCTTGAATATATCAACAAAATGCAACAATAATTTTGAACCTTGTTTTTTTCATCTTCAAAAAACGTCACTTCAAAATATAGGCAAATTAGCGCATATTTAATTAGATATAGCCTGATTAGCATATTTAAACAAAAAATTACAAAAAACTTGCAATACATTTTTTTCTCCAATTCATGTGAGTAATCAACTGGTAAAGTTTCATGGTGATATCTGTAAGTTAAATTTTTTAGCCTATTCACCTGTAGTGTCTCGCCTTAAATCGGGCTTAAAATCATGTAGTGTGAACTACAAATTTGACTTGCTTTACGTCAAGCGTTACAATAGTCATTATTTTGTTTTTCTTCGTTTCTGATGTCGTAATACATCATACTTTCATGAAATCATGCAACATACTCTACCTTGTCTGTGGACATCGTTCATTCCAAAGCCAGTGCTGGATAAACAGCGAGCGCGCGTGCGACAGTAGGATGCGCTAGGATAAATTATTTATGACAGCGGTAATGGACAATTCCGCTTCCAACCTGTAGGGCGACCGCAGAGGAAAAGTTACTTGGTGTTGCTTTAATACATCATGATGTGTTTGTCTGTGTAGCTGAAGCCTCCAGGGACTCCGTGCCGTGAATCCAGTAACTCCTGTGACCTGCCCGAGTTTTGCACTGGCGCCGACCCTCACTGCCCTGCTAACGTCTACCTCCACGACGGACACACCTGCCAGGGTGTAGATGGGCACTGTTACAACGGCATCTGCCAAACACACGAGCAGCAGTGCATCACACTCTGGGGACAGGGTGAGTACAGCGCCACCCGCTGGCCTGGAGGAGCCACGACTGCATCTGTGTGAAAACAGTTCATGTCAATTCCTTTCTGTGAGAAATGTGTGTGCATTTGGCAGGTGCAAAACCAGCTCCAGGAATCTGCTTCGAAAGAGTCAACTCGGCGGGAGATCCGTACGGAAACTGTGGAAAAGACGCAAAGGGGTCATTTGCCAAATGTGAAGCACGGTAGGAGAAAATATCAACTTTGAGTTCAGTATTGCTGGAGCAATATTTGAGTTTATATATAGAACTAATGAATATACATTATTAATAGAAATTATAATAATAAATATAGAAATAATAAAATACAAAACATCACAAGAAAAACCAAAATAACTGAAAAAAGTGAAAAATTTAATTTGATGTTTGATTTGATTTGAAATTTAATTTAAAATTGATGACAAATTAAAAAATAAATACAAAATAGAACTTTTTTTTTACAGAAATTGGGAATATTATTACAGAAATTGTTAATAATGCATATATTTATATATAACCAATAGTTTCATATTTTTGTACGTTACTTTTTATATTGTTGCTGTTTTATAATTGTTTAGATTTAGCCTATAATAGGTAGATTCGTTGTAAAAACTTGCTTCATTTTGTGTGACAACATGCCCCGATATTGGGCACAAAAGTTCAATAGCTTTTTTGAAGCCAAGACTTTAAGGTTTGTGTAACAGAAATTGACTTTTGAAAAAAAAAAAAAACATTTTCTTTAATCTTTCATTAGTCTTCCATAATTGACATCACCACAAGTACATGAGGGATTTTTTATTATTATTTTATTGCAGCAGATGGTTGTTGATTTGCTGCTAAATTAATTATTGTATATTTCAGATTTTTGGAAGAATGTTGCTTTTAGTGAGTTCACTTCAGGACGCCAGAAAATGAAAAAAGCCTTCAAATCCTTTGAGTGTTTATTTAGTGAGGGTGTTTTTCTCTTAAAATTACTTTTTTAGATTTAAATTACAGTTTAAATGTATTTCTCTCATAATTTTCCTCACGTCCTGTTCTTTATTGACTGATAAATCCACTGAGAAATCAAACGCTACAGCCGGACAAATAACAACATGAGCCTTTAAAAGTAGAAGAAAACAGAAGCCCATTGAAAATGTCACAGTAATTTGCATTTGCAGGTAACACCTGTCATACATTTTGTTTTAATTGAGCTCAAATTGCTGCTTCATGGATCATATCCTCGATGAAGTAATTACTGTAATGACTGAAGTGGACAGACGGAGAGAGAAACGGGCAACGGACGGGTTTCAGACGCTAATGACTCTTTATTTTGGCCAAAAGGACCTGAGCCACGCTCTGCTCTCTGTCTGTCTGTCTGTCTGCCTGTCTGTCTGTCTGTCTGTCTCTCTTTTGGACTCGACTGCGTGAGAAACTGCCCTGTGAATGCAGTAATTGGTCTTCAGTGGAGAGGATGCCTCATTATTTCTCCATGTTTTGGCTGCATTGGAATCAAAGATGTATGTCCCATTACCATGATCCTCTGTGGAGGAATCACACTTCAGCGCTGTGAAAACACGGCATACGTGTCAGTCTGGGAAACTGGCTAATTCATAACATGGGATCCGTTAGCTATGGAAACGTACACAATTTTAAATGAGGGCTTCTCAGCTGTGGGGTCACAACCCAGAAATGGGTCACTGGTCAGTTCGGACAGCTAAAAACATTTAAATAATAAAATGCAAAAATAATTATATATATAAAATTATATATACCGTCAAAACAAACATTATTCAGACACCAGATATCATTTTTTAATATTGTTTTACTAGTGGGTGCAGAACACTATAGTTCATTCATGTAAGTGAGGATAGCTAAATAAAGTAAACTGTGACATATTATACCCAAAAATTCTTCATACAGTGACCACCAGTAAAATTTATAAATATTTTGGTACAAAAAATTATTCAGACACTCTGACCTGACCATGGTTAAGTGTTTTTTCTTTAATTGCTAATGCAAACTTTTTACACCACAGACTGAACAAAATGTAGCATTGTTTGGTAATTGGTTGATCTAAATTGGTATTATCTAATTGTGTAGTTAAATATAACAGCTGACAGATATTCAACATAATTCATCTGTGAGACAGTCTGAAAGCCTGAGTTCTGAGTATTGGGTTCTTGTCATATTTGTATTACCATTTTCTAAACTATAGCGAATAAACTGTGATAAATGTTAAATGTGTCTGAATAAATGTTGGTTTGACTGTATATTGAATCCTTTTTTAACTAAAAAAAGGTATAGTGAATTTGCCTATGTGCTTATATTCTCCAATCTTCTTTGTAAAAAGTTTTGCCTTTCAAAACGTTTTCTTGCTGTTGTTTTCCAGAGATGCTAAATGTGGGAAGATCCAGTGTCAGGGCGGAGCCAACCGGCCGGTGATCGGCACCAATGCCGTCTCCATAGAAACCAACATCCCACTCCAGGAGGGCGGGCGTATCCTCTGCCGCGGGACTCACGTGTACCTGGGAGACGACATGCCGGATCCGGGCCTCGTGCTCACCGGCACCAAATGTGGAGAAAACATGGTAAAGAGAGTAAATAATGAAAAGATGTTTATTTATCAAATCAGACCATTACTAAAAACGCATTTTAATTTAACTCAAGGCCTGTGTGGTGAACAACATCAGGACTGCAGTGGGTTGAATTGCTTTGCTGTGCTTTTGCTAGGGTATTATCATTATTATTATATTATTTTAAGGGATATATATTAAGGGACAATGTTTGCTCTGTAGAATTGATTTTCAGGAGCATTTTTACCCATAATATGTATGTATGCATGCAAATTCACTAAACATTTACAACTTTGCAACAGTCCAGCTCAAAACCCTGCATCTTAATCATTAACCACGTATAATCATTTTAAATGCGCTGAATTTCTTTGTCATTCTTTTCAATGCAAAACATCATATTTAAAATGTGAATTAGGCTCATTATAGATATACAAAACTCAAGACTATATGCCTGTAAGTAATAGTGTATTATGAAATATGGCAAATCTCACATGGCAAAACAACAGCAACAAAAAAGGAGTTCACTATATGGTGGTATTTTTGTCCATGCTTTGTAAATATCTTGGGCATTTTTGTCACTTTTGGTGTCATTTTTACCCCAATCCCTAGTTTACTTCTGACCTTGATCTGTTATCATTATAATCCATTTCTAGAATATATCAAAATCAATAAGAAGTCGTTACTCCCATGCAAAGGCAAGCTGCAATAACTGCACATTTAGTCAGAATTGAGTCGTCAAATGAAATCAGGGATGATAACTAAGGAAAAAGTGTCCTCATTGACAACTGGAAATTACCCTGACATCACAGTATTACAGAAATGAAGTTGTAAACCAGTAAATGTGTGTCAAACTGAATTGCATGTGACACCTATAAGACATTTCCTCCATTTGGATGGATCATTGTTGGATGACAGTATGTTTGGCTGGAGTTGAGCTGATGACACGATCATCACTTAATAAAGTGTCTCTCTGTGCGTCTCCAGATGTGTGTAAACAGACAGTGTCAGAACATCAGTGTGCTCGGGGTTCACGACTGTTCGGACAAGTGCAGCGGACATGGGGTGAGTTTTTATCTCAACGTCTGACTGTCTTTACAACATCACAGTTTCACTTAGAAATACACTCACCTAAAGGATTATTAGGAACACCTGTTCAATTTCTCATTAATGCAATTATCTAATCAACCAATCACATGGCAGTTGCTTCAATGCATTTAGGGGTGTGGTCTTGGTCAAGACAATCTCCTGAACTCCAAACTGAATGTCAGAATGGGAAAGAAAGGTGATTTAAGCAATTTTGAGCGTGGCATGGTTGTTGGTGCCAGACGGGCCGGTCTGAGTATTTCACAATCTGCTCAGTTACTGGGATTTTCACGCACAACCATTTCTAGGGTTTACAAAGAATGGTGTGAAAAGGGAAAAACATCCAGTATGCGGCAGTCCTGTGGGCGAAAATGCCTTGTTGATGCTAGAGGTCAGAGGAGAATGGGCCGACTGATTCAAGCTGATAGTAGAGCAACTTTGACTGAAATAACCACTCGTTACTACCAAGGTATGCAGCAAAGCATTTGTGAAGCCACAACACGCACAACCTTGAGGCGGATGGGCTACAACAGCAGAAGACCCCACCGGGTACCACTCATCTCCACTACAAATAGGAAAAAGAGGCTACAATTTGCAAGAGCTCACCAAAATTGGACAGTTGAAGACTGGAAAAATGTTGCCTGGTCTGATGAGTCTCGATTTCTGTTGAGACGTTCAGATGGTAGAGTCAGAATTTGGCGTAAACAGAATGAGAACATGGAACCATCATGCCTTGTTACCACTGTGCAGGCTGGTGGTGGTGGTGTAATGGTGTGGGGGATGTTTTCTTGGCACACTTTAGGCCCCTTAGTGCCAATTGGGCATCGTTTAAATGCCATGGCCTACCTGAGCACTGTTTCTGACCATGTCCATCCCTTTATGGCCACCATGTACCCATCCTCTGATGGCTACTTCCAGCAGGATAATGCACCATGTCACAAAGCTCGAATCATTTCAAATTGGTTTCTTGAACATGACAATGAGTTCACTGTGCTAAAATGGCCCCCACAGTCACCAGATCTCAACCCAATAGAGCATCTTTGGGATGTGGTGGAACGGGAGCTTCGTGCCCTGGATGTGCATCCCACAAATCTCCATCAACTGCAAGATGCTATCCTATCAATATGGGCCAACATTTCTAAAGAATGCTTTCAGCACCTTGTTGAATCAATGCCACGTAGAATTAAGGCAGTTCTGAAGGCGAAAGGGGGTCAAACACAGTATTAGTATGGTGTTCCTAATAATCCTTTAGGTGACTGTATATATCCAACTTTATATAAAGAGCTGAGCGATGATATAATTACATAATTATATAATATGAGATTTGCTTTATTCTTCTATCCATTCTAGATAGATAATAGATAAGATAATATTGAAGACGCATATCTAACATATGTAAAATATCAAACAGAAATATGTTGAAGGTGCTTTAACTACTGAAGGTGCTGTACTACATTAACTGCTGACGTTTTTGTTTTTACATGATGTATCAATGGTCAAAGTCAGAGCTTTAATGACAAAATGTGCTTCCCTGCTCATAATTATGAGTTTGACTATGATGTGAATGTGATTTTTACAAGTTAGAAACACTAAATTATAGTAATTCCGTTGTTGTTGTGAATTCTTGAATGGAAAGGCCCAGAGAAAGAATTGAAAATGTCTTGATTATTCACAATATGATTTCAAGAAATAATTTGTGTTATGCTGAACATAATTATAGTAATTCTGAAATGACTTGAATGCAACTAAAAGCCACATTTATTTCACGTCGTTCTCTCTCTGTACTGTGATGTAAGACTCGCAAATGCAGCGGCAGGAGAAGCATACAATCTCTCCCACTGTCCCTGTGAATGGGTCAATCAATCAGCCTCAATAACCGCATTTATGTCCAGCTCAAAGTGCCGTTCATCAGGTTTCTGCTGTGTAACACTCACTTATGAGCTATGCAAGAGGCCTTTTATTTTTAAAGAGCAGCAAGACATTTATATTATTATCACAAATGAGCGTAATTTGTGGAGCTTGTTAGGAATATTCCTCACATTAAGTCACAGCATTACAAATCTGAGGAACAAAATCATGATGCATCTTCATGTTTGTGTGACAGGTGCTTTTTCACTTTACCCAATGACCGGTTTGATAATGTGCATGTAAAGAAAACATCTACAGGCTGGTCTAGGCTTTATGAACTCATGCTGGCAGATGTGTCTGAAAGTTCATGATGGATGGAAAGCTTTTTTTCCACGCTCTGTTTCTGGTGATAGTTTTACACGTTTAGATTGCCTGCACCTAAACGTGTTCCTGCTTTTTAAAATCTTCATTCAATTAGGAAAAGCGTGTTTAGATTACTGTAGAAATGAGTCCAGATGAGATGTGTGTCAATATTGGGGGGCGAAACCTGACGGAGCGAATGTGTTTTAGCTCCAGCATTATAACAGATCTCACAATGAAAGCAGTCTTCCCGAGGAACAGGTTACATGTTTGTGCGGAGATAGTGAGAAACAGATAGAGGACGTCAATGAATGAGCTCATGAATCTCCAGATTAGATCAAGATGTCCAACATCTGCAGCTCATCAGCACCGAGAGAGAAGAACCAGAAATACATGCTGCCAAATGGAGAAGGAAGGAAGTGTCTGAGTGCTTTGGTAGATGTTGAGGAGGTGCTCTCAGCATGCAAACACACACGTATAGACCAGGAAGAGATGTTGCTACCCAAGTTGGTAAAAAAGAATTGTGTTTTACATTTAGCAATTTAATTGTTCAAGAATAAAATTAAACCTACTGTATTTTAGGACCATTGGTCATTTTTACATTATCATGGAAGTAATTACAATGACAATCAACCACGTTTAAACTCCAAATTCTCATTTATATATATATATAATATTTATTCTTTAATAATAATATGTGACCCTGGACCACAAAAGCAGTCTTATGTGTCCATTTTTAAAAACTGAGATTTATAGATCACCTGAAAGTGAATAAATAAGCTTTCCATTGATGTATGGTTTGTTAGGATAGGACAATATTTGGCTGAGATAGAACTATTTGAAATCGGGAATCTGAGGGTGCAAAAAAAATCGAAATATTGAGAAAATCGCCTTTAAATGTTTCCATTTCTGTTGGCGATTGTGCTGCATCCACTTACAAAAATATTTTTTTTATATATTTAAGGTAGGAAATTTACTAAATATCTTCATGGATCATGATCTTTACATAATATCCTAATGATTTTTGGCATAAAAGAAAAATCGATAATTTTGACCCATACAGTGTTTTGTTGGCTATTGCCATAAATATACCCGTGCAACTTAAGACTGGTTTTGTGGTCCAGGGTCACATATATTTATACATCTTAATTTTTCGTACTACTTTGGAACAGGTAGTGGACAAATAATTGCATATTGACATAAATAGTCTTAAATATATTTCTTATTTTGTATATATATACTGAATATATAGAATCTTTAATAATTATTATATTTATTTATCTTATTTTTTTCTTACAGCTTTGGCAAAAGTAATGGACAAACACTTGCATATTTACATAAATATTCTTACATTTATTAGTTTTTTATATTGATATAATATTTAATAATATATATAACAATTTTCTTACAGCTTTGGCAAAGGTAGTGGAGAAATACTTGCATATTTACATAAATATTCTTTCTAAACAAGAATAAATGATAGTCAATCTGTATAGTGTAATCTTTGAAACTATGTTTCTCTTATTTACATTGGTAGCTGTTCTTATATCTGTTAACTAACCCTATGCTCTTTAATTTTTCTGTAATGTAAAGTAGATCGATGTGAGGATTAATACAGGTGTGATGTGACTGCTGTGCTATTGTCTCATGCGCAGGTTTGTAATAATAATAAGAACTGTCACTGTGAGGCTCTGTGGGCTCCTCCGTTCTGTGATAAAGCTGGATTTGGAGGAAGCATGGACAGCGGCCCGATGAGACCGACAGGTATTAAACGTGTGTGTGTGTGATTGACTGTTGTCCTGCTCTTCAACAGTGTCTGTTCACTTCACAGATGTGTGTGTGTGTGTGTGTGTGTGTACATGCAGACAGCAGCAGTGTGACGGTGGGAATCCTGGTGGCGTTTCTGTGTCTGCTGTGTGTTGGAATAATCGCGTGCATTAAGAGGAAAACTCTGCTCAGTCTGTTCTTCAGCAATAAGAAGAACACCATCGAAAAACTGAGGTATTAAACCTGCACAGCTGAAATAAACAATCACTGCAGGAGCAAGAGGCCATGCTAAAATATAGAAGGATATAACAGTATTTAGTTGTGTTCCCTTTGAAGTCCACATTAACACTTTATTTTGTTGGTCCACTTTAGACATTCTACTAATTATAAGTAACTTTGCAACTACATGTCAACTATAACTTATTCTACTAACCCTACCATACCCCTAACAGTCTACTAATACTCTAATGAGAGTTAGTTGACATGTAGTTGCAAAGTTACTTATAATTAGTAGAATGACAAAAATGGACTATCGAAATAAAGTGTGACCCATAAATTAGTTTTTCAAGTCCATTTTCTGACCCTTAGAACTAAACAGGCTGTTTTTGCTACTCTATCATCGAGGTTTCTATATGTAAATGAGTTGCATTGTGATTGGCTAAACTCTGTGTACTGCCATAGTTCATGATGTTAATCTGGGGAGAGGAAGTTCACAAAGTTCATTTGATATGTTCATATTTCATTCATAGTTCATATTCTGATTATGCATTGATATGTAAATGTGGGTTAATTTGCACATGATTGCAATGCCATAACCATACAAATTTCCATTTTGCAGTCTGGGAATGGCTTAACATTGTTAATGTTACAATAATGCACATCATTAATGCAATGTCCTACATTGTCACTCTTAGAAAAAAAGGTTCGTACACATACTGTTCTTTATCACTAGAAAAAAACAACCCATTAAAGGAGAACTCCGGCGCAAAATGAACCTTTGGTCTAATTACACATTGTTACCTAGTCAACCGTTATCTGAGATTTGTTTTCATGATTATCGAATGTAAATAGTTTTATCTCTAAAAACAGTTTAGCCTATAAAGCTAGTATAACGCTAGTATATTGGGCATAGTGTAATGACAAATAAAAATCGCTTGTTAATACCACTAACAAGGCTCAAAATAGCCCCACACTAACACGGTAGCATAATGAGGGTCCCTACCTTCAAACCGAAGCATTGAGAACTTTGTCAGTGTCCAGACAGTTTAATAAGAAGATATTTTAAACATACAGTCAACTTCGCGTATACAGACAGGAGCCATCTTTGAAAAAGAGTCTTTACCAGTCGATCTACGAACGCCGATCCAAGCCTGCTGTTCGCGCTCACCTTATCACAACTTATAGCTCGTTCACATCTCACCAGAGCACTTGGATCGGCGTTCGTAGATCGACTGGTAAAGGCTGTATTTCAAAGATGGCTTCTGCCTGTAAACGCGAAGTTGACTGTATGTTTAAAATATCTTCTTATTAAACTGTCTGGACACTTACAAAGTTCTCAATGCTTCGGTTTGAAGGTAGGGACCCTCATTATGCTACCGTGTTAGTGTGGGGCTATTTTGAGCCTTGTTAGTGGTATTAACAAGCGATTTTTATTTGTCATTGATCTATGCCCAATATACTACCGTTATACTAGCTTTATAGGCTAAACTGTTTTTAGAGATAAAACTATTTACATTCGATAATCATGAAAACAAATCTCAGGGAACGGTTGACTAGGTAACAATGCGTAATAGGACCAAAGGTTCATTTTGCGCCGGAGTTCTCCTTTAACATGAAAGTATTATGCAATCACTCCTTATAGAATGTTTTTGGCATAATGTGTTCTTTAAAGGGGTCATATAATGGTACATGCACTTTTACAAGTTGATTGTACTGAAATGTGTGTTGGCAGTGCCTGTACACAACCATCATAAAATGATAAAAATCCATCCAGTGTTTTTGTTTTAATCTCCTTATATGTTTTCCCCTGCCTCAAATCAAGCCGTTCGAGTGTGTGACGTCACAAGCTCGCACGCCCCTCCCACGATTGTTGATTGACAGCAGGGTTTCAACACAGACCCGCCCTCGCTCGTGAGCCAGCTGTCAATCATAGTCTGCGCGGACCGGCGCGGTCATTGTTGACATGCTGGAGCACTGTCTATGAGCAGAATGGCGTAAAGCGATTGTGGTGTTCTGTTCTTGGGTGTAATAACGAACACAGCAGTCATTTTAATGTTCCTAAATCCGAACCGCTGAAGACGCAGTGGCTGAGTTTGTTTTCGAAGGGAATATTCCCCACGAGCAACGTCAATGCTCTCATGTTTGCGCGAATCATTTCTCACACCAGACTGCTTTATAAACGAGGGTCAGTATAAAGCTGGTTTTGCTAAGAAGCTGCTCCTGAATAAAGGATCGGTACCAGATATTCGTGTTCCTGCTGAACCTCCAGAAGAACTGAAGTGAATGTAACGTTTTATTAAACTTTATATTAATATTTATATTAATCTTTGCAAATCGCTTGCACGCTTCACAATGAATGCGGCTAAGGTTTACACTCAGGGTACATTACGCCATGTTTTCTATGTATGACGTTCTCAATATAATTCATAATCCCACGTTTATAATGAACAACGCGTTATGGTTATTGTGTTATTGAGTTACAAACGGTGTACGCACAGAACAGAGAGGCGGGGTGAGCAAAGCTCATTATCATTTAAAGTCATATGCACTGAAACGGCGTGCTGAAAACAGAGCTGTTTTTGACCAAGTAAAATAAGTGTTTTCTTACAATACTAATGAGAATTTTTAATTAAAGTATATTACAAACTTTTAATTTAGACCCTAAAGAATCATACTAGCATGTACAAAAATGGCATTATATGACCCCTTTAAAACACTAGGGTTGTATATAGACCTTGTGTAGCTCCGCCCCTTTTCAGCGCTGCGCTCGTTGTCTTTTGTCTTCCGGTCTGTATTTTCACAGTGATCTTGCCTGTTTATGAATGAACGGCTCGTTTTAAAATCTTCCCGGTCGACTTACATTTGTTAAGACATCTGCTTTAAACATTACAATCCTCATGATAACTTTCGTTAACTTTACATAAGTAAATCCACTTCAAAAGCTAAGTACTCCTGGACAGCGATGCCATAGAGATATACAGAGCGAATGCAAAAACGGAAGTTCAAAGACAATACTCTAAAGATGGCGGCGCCCTTGTTTCTCTGGTGCATAAGGTCTAGAATCCCATTACACCTTTATTTCTAAAGAGTGTTTTCTGTTTTTACTTTGCTGCAGGTCTGTGGGACCCAACAGGCTGAACAGTCCAGCTCACACACACACTGGCATTCAAACACACTCGATGTACAGAACGTCTCCTCAACGTCAGACTACAGCTTTACCACAAAGTGCCAGCATATATAAGGTGTGTGTGTACCTCCTGCTCTCCTCCCTCCTCCCTCATTTGCATATATCATACGTATGCATACACACACATATATAACACATCCCCTCACACATAGAGAGAGATCAAGGGATATGCATATTTCATATGCATATACTGACAATTGCCACTCATCTCAAGCTCCAGAGGTTTGTTTAACAAAACGCACAACAAAGATAAATTGAGCGTTCAGCGTTTGAAACCTGCTCTTTAGCTGTCAGACCACACACATGCTCTATACAGCAATTCACAAATTGTTGGAAAATCAGTAGAGACGCCTGTCAGCCAGATGGATTGTAGATGCAATTTTGATCTCAGGGCTGTTGTTGAGAAAAGCCATTGAGATCTGTGATTAGAGGATGGGTGTAAAGTACCACGACTGACCCTGGTGCAGCGGATGCCCTGTGCTGCGAGTGTGTTCAAACGTTTGGAGTCAGTGAGTTTTTTTTTTAATGTCTCAAATGCGCATTAAGGCAGCATTTTTGATCAGAAATACAGTAAAAAAAAATTGTGAAATATTATCAGTTTAAATTAACTGTTTTCTATTTAAATATATTGTAAACTGTAATTTATTATTCCTGTGATCAAAACTGAATTTTCAGCATCATTACTCCAGTCTTCAGTGTCACATGATCCTTGTTTTTTGGTGTACTGTTCTTTTAAGAGCGACTGCAGTATCTGGTCCTCATAATGTGTGATGGTTACAGGATAGAGGATGTAGGTCTGTTTGATGTTAGGCAAGGTGAGGTTAAACAGACACACACACACAGTTTCTGTCTATCAACTCCTTTTGTTCTTGTCACATCTGGCGTGTGTGTGTGTGTGCTCATATGAGACTCATTTGTATAATTTAAGAGGATAGTTCAGCCAAAAATGAGTCATCATTTACTCACCCCGTTTCTGTGGAACAGAAAAGGAGATGTTAGACAGAATGTTCATAGTGTACACCAAACATTATTGGACGCTTGTGTGACATGAATCCATTGTGAAGTGTGTTCTCTCTCTCTCTCTAGCCTCAGTCTCCTCTCCAGACGGTGGGATCTGTGGTCCCGTCTCACGGTCTCCGCCGACTGCCCCAGTGCCCTCCAGTGCACCTCTCTCACCCGCTGCCACTGACGCCAACACACACACACACACACTCGTCTCCACCCAGAGCCCCCGCACCAGCGCTCGCCTGCCAGAACGTCTGCAAGATCGCATTGGTGAGTGTGTGTGTGTGTGTGTGTGTGTGTGTGTGGGGGGGGGGGGTTTGTAAATATGCCTGTGATAATTACAACGCTGCAGAAACTGCATATATAAGACTAGATTTCATTGTGAGTGGGAGGGTGTTCTGAGTGGTTGCTAGAATGTTGCTTAGTCAAGTCAAGTCAAGTCACCTTTATTTATATAGCGCTTTGCAGATCAATAATATTGTTGAATATATCACTAGGTGGTTGCTAGGGTGTTCCGGGTGGTTCTGGGTGATTGCTTAGCCATTGTTAGGGTGGTTGATTGGGTGGTTTCTTGATAGGGTGTTGCTAGGTGGTTGCTATGGTGTTCTGCATGGTTGCTAAGATGTTTTTGGTTGGCTAAACTCTTTTTGGTTGCTAGGACGTTTTCTGTGGTTCTGTTTGTTTGCTAGGCTATTGTTGGGTGGTTTCAAGTGTATTCTAGATGGTTGCTAGGTAGGGGTGGGAATCTCTAGGCACCTCACGATTCGATTCGATTACGATTCAGAGGGCTGCGATTCGATGCTAAATCGATTATCAGAATCTTTTTTTTTGTGTGTGTGTGACTATAAATACTTTGCTTTAAAAGTACAAAGTAATGACCCATAAAGAATTAACGTACAATATATTTTATTAACATTGCAAAGAACCAACAGGAAAATACATGTGTGTCTGAACTAGCAGCAGCATATTTGTAGTAAATTAATAATATAACAACGACCGTAACGTTACAGCCGAGTGTTTTTCCTCCTCTGGCTGGAAACGTGTCATTTGGCTTCATGTGTCTTGTTTCCGAAATATTTTAGTTTTACTCTACAAAGCTTACAACTAGTGTGGCTCTTGTCCAGCTCCTTTCCCCCTTCAACTTCAGAAGCCAAAATATTTCCACACGTCAGCTGTTAACGAGGAGGGTGTTTGGATTTGGCGCTCAGCCATCGCGTCCGCGTCTGTTATGTGCACGCCACAGACGGTCCGGCCACTGCACTTCCGCGCTTCAGAGTTCCGTCTTTCGCGTTCCGTCAATATTACGTTATTATAAATATATATCAAAAAATTTTTTTTTTTTTTTTAAATCGATTTTTGACAATTGTGAATCGATTCAGAATCGTCCACGTCCGCATCGCGATGCATCTAAGAATCGATTTTTTCCCCCACCCCTATTGCTAGGTGGTTGCTAGTGTTCTGCATGGTTGTTATTAAGTTGCTAAGATGTTTTGAGTGGTTGCTAGGACGTTCTGGGTGGTTCTGTGTGTTTGCTATGATATGAATGGTTGCTTGGGTGTTGTTAGGTGGTTGCTAGAGTGCTAGGGTGTTCTGTATGGTTGCTAGGTGGTTTTTTACTGGTTCAAGTGAAAAGCTGACTTGGGTCCCTCCTACAATGTGAGTCTATGAAACTTTTTTCCTTCCACCTGTTTTATCGTCCAGGAGGTGAAAATTGTAAGTGTGATACTGAGAAAAATAATAGCACACCAGTTTGATGCTTACAGTTCAAATCAATGAGCAACAGCACCACTGATAAGAACATGGTAAACACTTCTATACATGTCAGCAGGTACATTGTACTTTTCTTATTTCATTTATTTTCATTGTTCTCTCATTCCCCAGCCGTGTTGCAATGGCGAGTTAGAGCTCATTGTTCGTACACACGGTAATATTTTAGAATAGATTTACAGTTGAATGTTGGAGCTCCAGTGGTGTGAACAGGCCTCTTTCATTAGACCACTGTGTCGTAGTAAATCTCAAGTGTTTTCAGAGGTTCATGCAATCCAAAGAAAACGCAGGATGAAGCCTCTGGCCGGCCAATAGAGACCGCTGAGTCGATCAGAATGGAACAGAAAACTCAAGGTTTGACATGGCTTAAAATAGTCTGCCTCAGACAAATTGACTAAACTCAATTTAAAGGTAGGGTAGACAAGTTTGGAGAGGCTAGTAATAGCAAGCTTTGAAAGCATAAGATCCCCCCCCCCCTCCCCCTTCATAGCGCCTTCTTTAAAACACATGAGCAGCATGGAGCAAACCAGAGAGATGGTGTTAAACTACCTCATATCTCATAACATTACAATAATAATGTACAAAAACTATGGTAGACTCATTCATACACCGCCGTCGGTGTATGAATGAGTGAGTCAATGGGTGAATGCGAGGCAATATGTAAAGCGTTTGGGTCTGTGAAAAGCGCTATATAAATGCAGTCCATTTACCATAAACAACTTAAAGAGCTTTGACCTGTATCACCCGACTACTGCAGATTAATATGAGTGTTGATAGTATAAGCCGGTCTAAATGGCGGTATCCGATAGAACGGGTGAAGTCTCTGCTTGTTACTGTCTTTACGCGTTAAAGTAATTTAATTCCATTTAAGTTTTTATCTGACTCCATTTTATCACGACCTCGAATTTAGGTTAGATTGCCATTTGCCACTAACGAAAAAAACAAACTACAAAGTTTGCTAGGCCAAAAAGGCTGTTAATCCCGCGCTAAAAAAATTAATCGCGTTAAAATGGGTTTGTGTTAACGCCGTTAATAACGCGTTTAACTGACACCCCTAATATATATATATATAATTTAGACCACTTAACTTAGTGATTACTATCAGGATGTGAAGAGGCTTTCAACCAGCAGAACAAAAAATGTTTCTGGAACAAATCGTCTACCCTGCCTTTAAATAGCTGGAAATACTGATGGCATTTAGTCACGTAAGAAACTCCTGATGGAGATGTAAGTGAGCTTAATCGTTCTACCATTTGTAAAAATCTCATTAAATGTGGCTCTTTTACAATCAGTGACAACAAAGACAGTGTGGATTAAATAACACCGACTAGAATGGAGTTGTTTGGTTGAAGTTAATTCCCTGAGGATTATATGTGGACGGGTGAAGATGACATGCGCCTGTCTGTTGTTCGATAAATTGTCACAATTTGTTGGTTTGCCCCATAAAAACCTGCTAGTAAAGGGAGAGTCGTTGTCTTTTTTTATATGAAGCCCTGTGGAGAGACAGATAGCAGAAAGAGGAAGGAACTGGAAAGGTGAGGATGATCCGTCTCAAGAGAAAACAACACAAACCCTCATTAAAACAGCCATGAACCAACAAAACACACTAACACTTCTATACAAAAGTGACTTACATTGCATTCGTGGTTTACATTTTATCAATCATGCATTCCCTGGAAATTGAAACCATGGCCTTTACCATATTTATTGATTTTTATTTTCTTATTTTATTTTATTTGTTTGTTTGTTTGTTTAAATAACTAGAGAATAAAAAGTTATTCGTGGAGCTTAAAGGATCAGACACTAAAACACAATTTTTGGTTCAAATTTGAGCCTGTATTTTTTTATTATTAATTTATGTAAACTAAATAACTAAATTAGTATAAATTTAGTACAATTAATTAATGTTAATTTTTTAGTTTAATTTAACCTAGATTACACTTTGTTTTTTTATGTTTTTGAAAGAAGTCTTTTATGCTGACTAATGCTGCTTTTATTAGATCAATAATACAGTCAAAACATCATCTAATATGATGATTTGCTGCTCAAGAAACATTTCTGATTATTATCAGTTTGTGCTTCTTCATATTTTTGAGGAAACCATGATAAAAAAAATCAGGATTATTTGATAAATAGAAAGTTGAAATGAACAGGATTTTGAAATAGAAATCGTATGTGACATTATACATGTCTTTACTGTCACCTTTGAACACATCCCTGCTGAATAAAGCGTTCATTTCTTTAAAAGAAACAAAATCTTACTGACCCCAAACTTTTGAACTGTAATGTACCTTTAAACTCAAACTGAGACGTGTGTACGTGTGTGTGTGTGTGTGTGCGTGCGTTCGTGTTCTGGCAGGACATTCATCCCTGATGCAGCTCTTCAAAACTCTCCATCAGGGAAGCGTTAGACATGAGACTCACTCCTTGCAAGGTTTCTCAAGAGCTTTTTATCAGCCACTAAACAACTCTGTCGCCAGCAATCATGCAACGCTCGAGATATGAGCACTTCAGAGCAATTCAGTCCTTTATTACTTTTTAAAGAACAGAGGGAAGTGAGCAGTGAACTCATGTTGGGGTCTCTGGAGCTGAAGCGAGATGAAGATGATGATGAGGAGCAGATGGAGAGCAGGTAGCAGGTTATCGTTACCTCATAGTCAGCGTAGATTAGAAACACGTGAGCATGTCACATGACCTCTAAAGGGCGTTGCTATGGCAGCAGTGAAGCCACACACAGCAGTGACGTTTGATTAGCTTGTACTGCCCTCTGGAGGACGCTCAAAACAAGAGAAAGTGTATATATAACTTATTATTATATATAATATTAATATATTTAATAATTATAATATTTTTATATTCATTATTGTATTTATTTTATTTTCATTTATTTTATTTTTTTGTTTATTTAGCCTTTTTTTCTGTATGTAGACTTTATAATTTAGACTTGGGTAATGTGAACCCAATTTGAATCTCTTCTGAAACTCGAGGATACACGATTTACTGCAGTATTATTATGTTTTATTATTATTTGTTATTATAGTATTTATTAATAATATAACTTATTACTATAGTATTTATTCATATCTTGAATTATCTATTATTTAAACATTTAAAGTTTTAGTTTTAGTTTCAATTTTATTTGTTTAATTTTGTTATGTGCTTTTTTAATTTTTTAAGTTACAATAAGTCTTCCATCTAATATTTATATTTTATATTCATTCAGGTTTAAAAAAATAAATTTTGAATAGTTTTCTTTTTTAGATCACAACACTGATTTTTTTGCATGTAATATTTTATTTCAGCTTACCAAAAATGATTAAAAAAATGATCAATTGGTTTTTTACATATTTTTTCAATTAATTTTATTTTAGCTTTATTTCAATTACCGAAAAATAAAAATAGTTTTGATAGTTATAGTTAACAGTAACAGAACTGATTTACTGGAATCTTTTTTCCCAGGAGAAACATCTGAGAGTCAGGAGAAAAAAAAAAGTCTACAAAAATGTCATTGCTGTCCTGGAGAAACAATTAAGATATGAAATATCTCATCTGTCACAATGTTAATCATGCTTGCTAACTGAATACATATATATCCCATGTGAGACTGTGTACTCCCTCATGTCCACCACAGGCGTTCGAGAAGCCCAGTCCGCCTCAGAAGCCTCTCCCCGCTGACCCGCTGGGTCGAAACATCCGGGTGATGCGTAACCCGTCTGCGGTCCGACTCCCAGCTCCTATCCCGCCCCCGGCCGCCCCCCGTCCCGCTCCAGCTCACCCGCAGCCCTGCAGGTACACACACACACTCACACACACCTGACAAACATCTCAGGTCATCAGGGGCTGCTTCCTAAGTTCCTACAGTCTGCTGGATTGCATGTCCCCATGAAACAATACTGCATATTTTACATAAAATGTTAATCAGCTTTCATGCCATGTGGCATAGATGTACCCCGTTAACACAAAGTCGAAACGATTAGCACCTAAGAAGAAAAAAATAAAAATTTAAGCACAAATCCCGTCACAACTCTACAGGGAGTGTTGCACCCCTGGTCTGAACAGTTTAATCAAGGATTCGGTCTCTCTAAACCCCTCCTTTCTGAGATCCTGCTCTGCTCTGATTGGTCAGATTGCCCAGTCTGTTGTGATTGGTTGATCGCTTACAGCGTGTGTCAGAAACCAAAGGCTCATTAGCATATCCTCAGCTCTTGATACACAGTGATACGAACAGTAACGATGCCGTCGGTTTTACCAGAAAACAGCGTCTTCTCGACATGAACAACACGAACCAAACTCTTTCAGTCTCAGATAAACTACAGTGTTTGAGGGCGGGACAAAGCAGACGCTGTTCAGCGACAACCAATGAAGACCACGGGCTGGCATTATGCAAATTTGTTACAAACATACACAGGTTCAGCAGGAAGTGAGACTGGAATTACCATAGATATCCACAATAAAGGCTAGATGTCTTACGGCGGAGTTTCTATCGTCATCACCGGCGGCCATCTTGTCACAGGCAAGCTTTCTGGCAGGCTCTGTGGTGCCTGATGTAAGATGAGTAATCCGCACGAACACAAATACTCTTATCTCGATGAAATCTTGACGGATTTACAAACGGTTTGGTTTCTTACAAACGTTACTAACGTGGCTTTAATTCTGGATGATTATTTATTTATACACTTATTATTCATAAGTGTGCAGTGTCATAACTACATCTCTGACGTTTATAACAAACCAAACCGTTTGAAAATCGGTAGAAAATTGAGCAAGTTATGGTTATTTAAAAAGTACATGCAGCATTAAAACACAATGTTACGAGTGAGCGAGCTGCCTGTGACAAGATGGCCGCCAGGTGCTGACGTCGACCTCCATTGGCCAGCAGCGCGGACGAGACATCTAGCCTTTATTATGGATATCTATGGGAATTACTGACGACTCGTTTCAGGCAGTTCAGAATCACTTCTTTCTTTCGGGAGACAATAGCTGTGTCTGAAATCGCTCCCTATCCACTATATAGTGCACTATATCGGGTGTCGGCCATTTTGTAGAATTCTGAGTGAACGACATCATTCCCTACGTTCATTCACTACTTTTACCCACAATCCTCTCTAAATTCGAGTGTACATTCGATGTACACTTGCTGAAGCACTATTTCCCACAATCCAATGCAGAGAGAACTGAGCGCGCATGAGCGAGCAAGTTTTAACCTTTTAACCATAATTACATTACAGCTTTCTTATTCCTGCTTTAACATCTATTTCATGCTAGTTTTATTTTTTTATTAATCATTACTTGAATAGAACATATTAAAACATTGAAGCGATATTATATAGATGAATTTTAAAATTAAATGAAATTATATTTATATCGGTTTTTTATTAAAATATATTATTTAGGCATTAACACAATTTAATGTTTTACTAATGTGTTTTGATAATTTGTGGCATTGTTGTTAACTCGTTAAACTGTAAACGGAGAGATGATAATTTGGTGGATGATTTAAAAATATCCATTAATCGTCTTTAGGAAGCGTATTCATCTTTTTACAGTCTATGGTATTCATTCGAATATAATAACGGTCGCCTGAGGGCGCTCGACGACCACGTCATCTGTGAGCGTGAGAGTTACAATTTCAGTCGATGGAACTACAAAGCTGGCACTGAGGTATATATAATTACAAAATAAAGTCATTATGATTGTTATTGTTGTTAATATTATTTTATAAAGTAAGTAACGTAAGATAAAAAGAGTTTTATCAGTACGTGTGACGAAGCCTTTTCTGCGACAGCTCCAACTCTCCGACGCACAGTGTAAACGTCAGCGTCCGAATTCACTCACTTCATTTGTTCACTCCTTGCAGATATAGTGCACTTAAATGCCATACACTATATAGGGATTAGTGAATGAGTGAACGAGTGAGCGGTTTCGGACACAGCTAGAAACTCCATTTGTCTTTGAAACTTTATACACCTTTCACATTCACAAACAGCTGTATTACACGCTACATGAAAGGGAATATCCCAAAAAATATATATATTTTTAAATCAACAAACCTGCTCAGTCCAAAATCCACCATCCTGTAGGAACGACCCAAAGATAACGGATGCATCTTATGATGAACTTTTGTTTCCGATGAACGGATTTGCAGGCCTCCTCCGAAACAGCCGCCCACGCTGCCGAAGCCCCAGCTCCCAGCCCGAGTGAAGTTCAGCAGCTGAGAGCCGGACTGAGGGATTTCGGCCCTGGAGACACTCGCTTTTTGCACTATGAACCTCTGCGGGACACGTGGCGTGTCAGAGTCCTGATGTGAGGGGTGACCTTTGACCCCCGCGGTGCTCTCCCTCTAAACGGTGCTATGAGTCCAAGCTCAGGTACATGTCACGCGTTATTTATGTCGGTTACGAGCGTATTTATTTGAGCACAGTGCACTGTGGTTGACACTTTCTCAATCGTAGCAATCGGTGGTTCGCCCACGTTTACCAGATTGACCTTTTGTTGTTGTTGCTGTTGTTGTTGTTTGGACCTTTTTCGACTGTGCACCAGCGGAGGAAAGAGAAGACGTGTTATCTGTGAACATGAACACTAAACTGGACTGAAACCAGATTTAAATGGAAACGTGAATTGAGATTTGTACTTTGCTAATGGTTCTGAGTCTGTGATGTACTTTTGGTAAATGAAAAGGGCTTTTTAACAATTTAATATGATTTAATAGCCATTTTTATTATCTATTTCAGACATGATTAAACCTGAATTAGGATTGCAGTGATACTTAAGGGATGTTGAAGGAACTTACATTAAAATACTTTGAAATGAAGTTGAATCTCACTAAAACATGTCCGGGTCACATTTCACCCCAAAGTAAAAGAAAAACTAATACATTTTGCATTTACATTTTCTTTTCTTTTTTTTACATTGTGACTTTTTAGTGTATTTTTACTCTCATATTCTCATGACTGTATTGCATCTGAATATATTTTTTATTCTAATTATTATCTATGTATTATCACTGATATATAGTCATTGTTAGTACAGTAAAAAATACTGTGTATATCATTCATGAGAATCATCATAGGATAATTAGAATTGGAAAAAATACAAATTAGTTTTTTGATTTTTTTGTGTTTAAATCAGAACAATTTAAAAGCAGTCAAATTAATACTATCATAAAAATGATGATGGTGTATTAATATTACAGTTAAAAATATATTATTATTATTGTGATTGATTTTTTTTTTTTATATATAAAACTAGGCTTCTTTTCTTTCAAGTCAGCTTTATACAGTAGATAATAAACAGCAAAGTAACAGAATGAACGCGAGTTGCTTTGGATAAAAGCGTCTGCTAAATGATTTAATGTAAATGTAATGATGCAAACTTCATCAAATATGAGACCGATTTAAATTCTTCTGTAAAGCAGCTGTCGTTTTCTAGTCTAATTTAGCCATGCTACAAAATATGTCCAATATGTAAATATATTTATGCTAAATTAAAAAAAATATCTGGAAAATTATCGGGGCAGGATGATGTTCATTACTGTATTGCAATAATGAGAAATTGGCTGAAAAATGTGCACAATCACAATGAAAACAATCATAAGGGTCTTTAAAACAAGCAATTTCTTGCATATTCCTTTTGATTTTGAGGTGAAATATGAGCTGGACATGCGCAGAGGGAAACAAGTCTTGTTTCTCTCTTTCTTTTTTCTTCTTTTGTTTTTTGGTGAGGATGAAAACGTTTGCAACACGTTTTATGCACCGAGCTTTTGTTGATTTCGAAGCTCGTGAGGAAGATAGAGGAACAGATAGGAGATCTCAGCTTCGAGACCTGTACTGACCGCATGTGTTTGCTGGACAGATCCGAGACAAACCGGCCCTGATTTCATGGCCATGCAGCCATATGCTCATATACTGGATGTTCTTTGAAAAATAGTTATTGTGGGGAAATGATGAAATGAATTACATAAGGACTTTCTGTCTCATCAACCTAAATAATGGAGCATTATAACTGGATTGTGGATAATGAAAACAGACATTTGAATCCTTCTCTAAATATTCCCATAATCCCTTTGGTCTCCCTCAAACACGCTGCGGTCAGTGGGTTTGTGTCACTGGCAGAGTTTCATGGGCGATTTGTCAGGGTAAATGAAAACACTGCACTAAAAGAAAAGTGCACAAATGATTTAAAAATAGAGGTTTAGGAGTGATTACGTTCATGAATTACTGTCAACATTAAAACCAAGCACAAACTGGCTTCGGTGAGTAAATACTTTTCCGGTAACTCGCCAGTTTTCTGATAACTTTTTGAGAAACTACAACATAATAAATGGTTTAATTGAATAGCAAGAATGATAGTCTGATGCACGCTGATGAATAACATAGACATGCAATCATCTTTCTGTCCTGATGTTTCACCGAGAGTTTGAGAAAATATAAACACTGCTGTTCAAAAGTTTGGGGTTGGTAAGAATTTGTTGTTTTTTTGGACGTCTCCTCTGCTCACTGTGTTTATCTGATCAAAAATACAGTAAAAACTGTGAAATAGTTTTACAATTTAAAATAGCTGTTTTCTATGGACGCTTGTTTCCACCACAGAAAAAAAAATTTAATTATGATTTTTCACTATTGCAAGTTTACATCTCTAAATTTTGACTTTTTATCTCAGAGTTGCGTGATATAAAATAGCAATTGCGTGTTATAAAGTCAGAATTACGTGACAAAGTCCCAATACGCAATTTTCATTAGAATTGGACTTTATTACTCCAGTCTTCAGTGTCACATGATCCTTCAGAAATCATTCTAATATGATGATTTGCTTCTCAAGAAACATTTCGGATTATTATCAATGTTGAAAACAGTTGTGCTGCTTCATATTTTTGGAGGAAACCGTGATACATTCTTTTCAGGATTCTTTGATGAATGGATAGTTCAAAAGGACAGAATTTATTTGAAATAGAAATATTTTGTAACATTATAAATGTCTTTACTGTCACTTTTGATCAATTGAACGCATCCTTGCAGAATAAAAGTATTCAAATCTTACTGACCCCAACGTTTTGAACGATGGTGCACTTTAATAAGAAATGCTGCAAAATAGTTGAAATGGCTGGAAATACATAAATACGTTTGGGATATTTCAGCCTCCATTGGCAGTTGATGCTTGGCACTGAAACTCTGGTATTTGAGCCATTTATGATCTCAAGCGTGGGTCTTTTAGGCCTGTGTACTGGACACCTAATGAGTGCCATTATTTCTCATTGTTTACATTGTAAATTCATCTTCATTCACTGTATTAGCAGACGTCACGACATCTGAAGTGTCCTGTTGCCTTTTTACAGTTAAACCACACAGTGCATTACAGTAGCGACTGTTCAGATCTAGACGCTGATTGATTATATGAAGATCACGTGTCTCTAGGTTAACTGCCTTGCTTGTTTTAATTACAGTTATCATTTACTATTATTCACTTTCAATCATGTTGTATCTCAGTAAATCTACTCATGTAACGCCCTTTTTATTCAGTGTCACGGGTGTAAACTGCTTTTTTTATGACAAATCTTCGATTAATCAAGAAATGTGAAATAAGATGCTGTACGTTGATGTCTGCAACACAAATACGGTCGGCATAAAGGGCAGCGCTAGTAAAGTTGTTTATGAAACCCATGTGTCGTCTCATTTAGTCTCTGACTCTTCCAACAACAGACCGAGGATGTTCTGAAGGAAATGATAAAGAAATATGATCAATCGTTTAAATACTTGCACAAGTTGTATCAAGAAGAATGGCGTTTACCTCTCTTTCAAATGCTTTGGCCATTTCCAGAGCGCTAACGCCAACCTAAAACCAGAGAAAGAAAGAGTGCAGTCACAGATGAATCCTCAACATCGGCTTCATGAGATAACTGTATTGCTCTTTCAGAGCTCAGGAGACGCAATGGAGATTCATTTCAGTATTCAAATCTGTCTCACGTTTCTCCTAACATTCACTAGGAGAAACAATGACAGTTGTTTTCTTGAAATAAATGTTTATATTGTAGCTCATGAGATAATTTGGTCTTTGGAAGAGAAATATTTTAGTTCATATTGAAATCTCAGACTGGTTACAGTATTGAATTGAATTGAATTCAACTTTATTGTCATTGCATGTCACAAGTAGCCTACAAGCAACGAAATGCAATTGCATCCATTCCAGAAGTGCTTTAGCAAGAATGTAGATATATTACAAAACAAGTGTCCCCAAATCCATTACATTTTTAAAACAGTAATATCCTATACTAAACCTATACTAATCTTGACAAACTATATATCATTTGAAAGCTTACAATCTCTAGCTTACATATTTGGTGATTGATTTTCAAAATAAATTACAGAGGAGCCGTAATTTATCAATTTACAACAAGAATATTTTCATACTCCTAAGGCATGTTCAGACCTTTATTTTGAAATGGTGATGAACATGAAAATCATGAAAGAAGGTTAGAAACCTCAGTTTTGTTTTCATGCCAAGAGTTCAAAAGATAGCATCCATTCAATTATTTTAGAAAAAAGGTCTGAAATTGTTTTACATATAAAGAAAAAAATAATAGATTCACCATTTGTGAGGTGGCAGCGAGCTATAACGCACATACTTGTTCTTTTTGTGTTTCTTAGAGGTTGAATTCATATCAAAATCTGCCAAACTTCTCATACTACTTCTGAATAGGATGTCTACTTCATAAATTGTTTGAAAATTGTGGAAATAATGGTTCATATCACTCAAAACACACATGGAAATGGAGGCGCCCTTATAAGGGCAGTAATGGAGTCTGGTTGTCATCTGCGGCCAAACAAAACCTTACTGAAAGCTCATTTTTTTGAGATATCAACCTAAAATTTGAAACACAACTTGTTCAGATTTTTGGCTTTGTTTTGTTTTTTTTTGTGCAGTTTTAGAGTCGCCCAGATTTTGAAAATATATATTTTATATAAAATATGAATAATTCCATTTTTTACATTGTACATCTTCATAAACTCAAACCTCTATAACCTTTTTTCTGTTTCACTTTCTTAATTTATTTCACTTCTACAAAAATCTGCCAAATGTCTTCTTTAAAACAAGACCAATCTTACGTCTATATTCCAAAGCATTCTTGAATTACAACCATTTAAGTTCGAAATGTGCATTTTCATGTATATTCAAAAAAGGGGGAGGGGGAGGGGGCACTTAAAGGGTTAAAGGCTATAACAGACTATAAATATACAATATGCAAGTATTAATAAACAGCTATAGAACTATACTTATTGTATTGTATTGTACAGTATGATTGTCTAAACAGTATTTACAGTAGTGCAATTAAAAATTGGTGAGATATGGATAATTTATACAGCAATGATGGTAAAATCCCAAAGGAGATCTTTTTGTAGTCGAGTATTAATCTCAGATAGAAATGATGAGCAAACTTTGAACAGAGATGTTTTTCAGTTTTCTGTGTGTTTGATCTGGTTTTACTGGGAGGTTCAGACCTTGTTCTGGATGTTCGGATCGGCTCCTTTCTCCAGAAGCATTTTCACTAGATGCTCATGATTATTCAGCACAGCCACCTGAGGAATAAACATGTTTACACACATTATGTCCTTCTATGAATGACCTTAATCACTGTACGCATAAATACATCCGCTAGCTTTAGCACTCACATTAAACAATACAAAACATTTTTATATGGTAAATAAAAAAGAACATCTTTGTTACTGTTAATCGAGGGGAGACTGGGGCTAGTTGTCACATAGACTGTCTCTTACTAGCTTAGTTTTATTTTAGTATTATAGTATTTGTTAATATTTTTTTATTTTAGCTACATCTATTTAGCCTTCATTAATTTCTATTTCATATTTTTTTGTAATTTTAAATTCTAATTTTCTAATTATTTCTAATTTGTGTGTTAAGTTTTACATCTGATATTTAGGTTTTATTTCAGCTTTATTTCACTTACTGAAAATCAGCAGCTGCTAACAAAATTCATAAGATAGAATTAAATGTTAATTCATAAGATAGAATTAAATATTTAAAACTACTAAATTTGACATAAGATGAATTAAATATTTAAAACTAATACATTATTCTCAAATAAGTTTCACTAAACAGCAGGTTTCCCGACCCATTTGACCTTTTTTTTTATTTTTTTATTCTGGCATTGTATTGCAAATTTGAGTTTATAACTCAAAATTCTGACTTTATAACTCTCAATTTTTAACTCTCAAAGTTTACATCTCACAATTCTGAATATTTTCTTGCGATTCCGAGTTCTGCTGTCTGATGTACATGTGTTCAGTGAACTGTATCTTTGTTCCTGGGCAATAATGGTGAAAAAAATTCAGTTTTCAACACAATAGAAATAGGCTTGTGTTTTTACAGTAGTTAACTTAAAAAAATAGACCTACAGTGAGAAATATGCACTTGATTAAAAGTGTGGCAACTAACCCCGTCTTCCCCTGCTTGTTTAGTGGTTTATAAGATTGAGTTCAGACCATGAGTGGTGTTTTGCCGTCTCTGTCCTGCACATTAACATCGGCACCAGCACTGATCAGCAGTGAAGCTAAAGCCGTGTCTCCGGTCATGACCGACACGATCATGAGGGGCGTCCACAAGGCACTGTCCTGCACATCAGCCTGAGACACAAAACAACATTATGAGCAGTGAATCAGGCACAATGTCATGTGAATGATGTTCTCACCTCGCACCCGTCCTGTATGAGGTACTGCAGGACGGGCAGGTGTCCCCCGACTGTGGCCCAGTGCAGAGCACAGCAGCTCGACCTGTCCCGAGAGCGCCAGGACGCCCCGCAGCTGCGCAGGAACTTCACCACGTCCAGGTGCCCGTGGAAACACGCGAACATCAGGCTGCTCACCACACACACACACACACACACACACACACAGGAGACCAACATGTTCATACTCGGGCCCCAGTAAAATATTAGCCTACTGATAAATCCTTATGAATCAATGGAGATTAATGTGGAAGCTTGTTTCCGGCACGGAATAAAAAATAAATAAAAAAGTAATTCCAACTTTTTTTCTCGCAATTCCGAGTTAGGTCGTAATTCTGAATTTTTTCACAATTCCGAGATTCTGACTTTTATCTCGCAATTTCGAATTTATAACTTATGCAATTCTGCCTTTTTTCTCGCAATTGTAAATTTATACCTCGCAATTCAGACATTATTTCTCACAAATTAAGTTTATATCTTGCAATTCAGACTTTATAACTTATAATTCTGACTTTTTTTCTTGCAAATCCAAGATTGTAACTCACAATTCTGACTTTTTTACTGTAAATAAACTAAGAATTGAGATATATAAACTTGGAATTGCAAGGAACAATTTTCAGAATTGCTAGTTATAACTAAAAAGTCACAATTCCCTTTTTTAGCGTATTTAACTGATACCGTATACCTGAGAATAATTTTCCTTGACAATAATTCACTAATATCTTGTTTTTTCTGTCAGCTGTTAAGATTTTGTTTGATTTCAGTTTGATTCATTCAGACAGTTCATTCACACACAGAATTGTTTCCACCGGTTTCTCGTATAGAAATAACAGGATAGCCTATACTTGATAATACAGAAAAACAAAAAGAGTGCCGGATGAGGTGAATATTTACCTACAATTCATTTTAGGAAACATAACTTGGAAATGTCTTTTATCGTTTGACAGTGATGCAGATCTTTTCTTTTACGGCTCTACTGTACGTAAAAGATCATTTTAAAAGGTAATTTATATCCATAACAGTATATCCAAAAAAAGATTTAGAAAGTCTAGAAATGCTACTGGTTCATAACATGAGAAATACACAAAAAAACTCACCTGTCTTTGCCACTGTTGTTTTTTTTGTTCACGTCTGCGCCATGATGCACTAAAATCTGAACTCCACTAGAAAACAAAACACAGATGGATGGATGGATGGATGGATGGATGAATAGATGGATGGGTGGATGGATGGATGGATTAATAGATAGGAATGGATGGTTGGATGGATGAATAGATGGATGGATGGATGGATTAATAGATAGGAATGGATGGATGGATTAATAGATAGGAATGGATGGTTGGATGGATGAATAGATAGGAATGGATGGACGGATGGATGAATAGATGGATGGAAGGATGGATGGATGAATAGATGGATGAAAGGATGGATGAATAGATGGAAGGATGGATGAATAGATAGGAATGGATGGAAGGATGGATGAATAGATGGAAGGATGGATGGATGGATGAATATGAATGGATGGAGGGATGGATGGATAGATGGAGTTTACCTAGTAAAGCCCCTCATTACGGCGATCATTAGAGGTGTAAAGTCCAGTCTGTCAGGAACGTCCACTGTGACTTTTCTGCAAGAACACATCAACACAACACAACACATCACATTACATCACAACACATCACATCACAACACGTCAAATCACATCACATCACAACCAGGGCCGGATTGGGACTCATTTTCAGCCCTGGAATTTGCCTTAGACCGGCCCACTTTAGTTCCCGTCTGACTATATTAAAATAATGTAATTGAAACCTCAGTATATAAGTCTGCAATAGTGCAGTGTTCTGTACAGCCTTGTTATTCATTTTATTTAAAAAATATATAAATTTATATTCAGTGCAATAGCTGTACAGGGTTTTAAAAATACAGAGGTCCGAAAAGTGATCTTGCTAGGGGGTTCGGGGGCATATGCCCACCCAGACAAGTGAAGTAGGCCTAATACAAACAGTGAAATGTCCCAGTGCTGATATGGGGAAATATAAACACATTCGAGGTATACAAATAGCCTATATATATTTATACAACAATGCCAATATATAATATAATAATATATAATATAATATATGTGCTTGTGTTGTTAAAATTGAGTTTATTTTTACTAGCTGATCATCATTGGCAAAGAACATATGTATGTCTGTGTTAAATAGGAATCCATTGTAATAAAGTTATTCTCATTCTGGGCACAGTATGCAATAGGCTATTCCTCTACCTGCTCTCATTTCTCATCTCCATCTTCTCTCATTCTTCTTCTCTCAGTCTCTTTATCTTTACCTACCTAATTTAGCTACCTAAATATCCCCTTCCCGAAGCTGAGTTTTGATTGATACAGTCTTCACAAACTGATTATTTCTTTCGGTCGTTTAAAACTTCTTTCGTAATTAAAACAGCTGTTTAGTTTAGCCACTTGCATCTTGTGAAGCGTCGCGTTTGGATTCGCTCGCGGCCGCGGCTCGCGAACATAAATCCCGCTTACTTTGATCGGTCATCTCAAACATTTTGCCATTGCCGGCGAGCGGTGTTTGAATACTGAAGCAGCTCAGATTATGAGGTCGGTTATCGTCGCGATATGCAAATCATTGCAGCACCAAATTAGAGTTAATATTAGTAAATTATTTCACAATGTTCATTATACACTCAGAAAAATATACACTCAGAAAGCTGTGCCTGGAGCCTAAAGCATTCAACCCAGTGCCATGACAACACCGGCCCTCCTGGCCAATAAAACATACCGACCCACCGGGAATTCTCCTTCTCCCGGTGCTCCCGATTAGCCAATCCGGGCCTGATCACAACACATCACATTACATCACAACACATCACATTACATCACAACACATCACATCACAACACGTCACATCACAACACATCACAACACATCACATCACAACACATCACAACACATCACATCACAACACGTCACATCACATCACAACACATTACAACACATCACATCACAACACATCACAACACATCACAACACATCACATCACAACACATCACAACACATCACATCACAACACATCATATCACAACACATCACAACACATCACATCACAACACATCACAACACACCACAACACATCACATCACAACACATCACATCACATCACAACACAACACATCACAACACAACACATCAAAACACATCACATCACAACACATCACAACACATCACATCACAACACATCACAACACATCACAACACAACACATCACATCACATCACAACACATCACATCACAACACATCACATCACATCACAACACAACACATCACAACACAACACATCAAAACACATCACATCACAACACATCACATCACAACACATCACATCACAACACATCACAACACATCACAACACATCACATCACAACACATCACAACACATCACATCACAACACATCACAACACATCACATCACAATACATCACAACACATCACATCACAACACATCACAACACATCACATCACAACACGTCACATCACATCACAACACATTACAACACATCACATCACAACACATCACATCACAACACATCACATCACAACACATCACAACACATCACATCACAACACATCACAACACATCACAACACAACACATCACATCACATCACATCACATCACAACACATCACAACACACCACAACACATCACATCACAACACATCACATCACATCACAACACAACACATCACAACACAACACATCAAAACACATCAAAACACATCACATCACAACACATCACAACACATCACATCACAACACATCACATCACAATACATCACAACACATCACATCACAACACATCACAACACATCACAACACATCACAACACATCACAACACATCACATCACAACACGTCACATCACATCACAACACATTACAACACATCACATCACAACACATCACAACACATCACAACACATCACATCACAACACATCACAACACATCACATCACATCACAACACATCACATCACAACACATCACAACACATCACATCACATCACAACACATCACAACACACCACAACACATCACATCACAACACATCACATCACATCACAACACAACACATCACAACACAACACATCAAAACACATCACATCACAACACATCACAACACATCACATCACAACACATCACAACACATCACAACACAACACATCACATCACAACACATCACATCACAACACATCACATCACATCACAACACAACACATCACATCACAACACAACACATCAAAACACATCACATCACAACACATCACATCACAACACATCACATCACAACACATCACAACACATCACAACACATCACATCACAACACATCACAATACATCACAACACATCACATCACAACACATCACAACACATCACAACACATCACAACACATCACAACACATCACATCACATCACAACACGTCACATCACATCACAACACATTACAACACATCACATCACAACACATCACAACACATCACAACACATCACATCACAACACATCACAACACATCACATCACAACACATCACATCACAACACATCACAACACATCACATCACAACACATCACAACACACCACAACACATCACATCACATCACAACACATCACATCACATCACAACACAACACATCACAACACAACACATCAAAACACATCACATCACAACACATCACAACACATCACATCACAACACATCACAACACATCACAACACAACACATCACAACACATCACATCACAACACATCACATCACATCACATCACAACACAACACATCACAACACAACACATCAAAACACATCACATCACAACACATCACATCACAACACATCACATCACAACACATCACAACACATCACAACACATCACATCACAACACATCACATCACAATACATCACAACACATCACATCACAACACATCACAACACATCACAACACATCACAACACATCACATCACAATACATCACAACACAACACATCACAACACATCACAACACAACACATCACAACACATCACATCACAACACAACACAACACATCACATCACAACACATCACATCACAATACATCACAACACATCACATCACAACACATCACAACACATCACAACACAACACATCACATCACAACACATCACATCACAACACATCACATCACATCACATCACATCACAACACAACACATCACAACACAACACATCAAAACACATCACATCACAACACATCACAACACATCACATCACAACACATCACATCACAACACATCACAACACATCACAACACATCACAACACATCACATCACAACACATCACATCACAATACATCACAACACATCACATCACAACACATCACAACACATCACAACACAACACATCACATCACAACACATCACATCACAACACATCACATCACAACACATCACAACACAACACAACACATCACATCACAACACATCACAACACATCACAACACATCACATCACATCACAACACATCACATCACATCACATCACAACACAACACATCACAACACATCACAACACAACACATCACAACACATCACATTACATCACAACACATCACATCACAACACGTCACATCACATCACAACACATCACAACACATCTCATCACAACACATCACAACACATCACAACACATCACAACACGTCACATCACATCACAACACATTACAACACAACACATCACAAGACATCACATCACAACACATCACAAGACATCACAACACATCACATCACAACACGTCACATCACATCACAACACATCACAACACATTACAACACATCACATCACAACACATCACAACACATCACAACACATCACAACACATCACATCACATCACATCACATCACAACACGTCACATCACATCACAACACATTACAACACAACACATCACAAGACATCACATCACAACACATCACAACACATCACATCACAACACGTCACATCACATCACAACACATTACAACACATCACAACACATCACATCACAACACATCACAACACATCACATCACAACACATCACAACACATCACAACACATCACAACACATCACATCACAACACATCACATCACATCACAACACATCACAACACATCACATCACAACACATCACAACACATCACATCACAACACATCACAACACATCACAACACATCACAACACATCACATCACATCACAACACATCACAACACATCACAACACATCACATCACAACACAACACATCACAACACATCACATCACAACACAACACATCACATCACAACACATCACAACACATCACAACACATCACAACACATCACATCACAATACATCACAACACATCACATCACAACACATCACAACACATCACATCACAACACATCACAACACAACACATCACAACACATCACAACACATCACATCACATCACATCACAACACATCACATCACATCACATCACAACACATCACATCACAACACAACACATCACAACACATCACATCACATCACAACACACATCACATCACATCACAACACATCACATTACATCACAACACATCACATCACAACACATCACATCACAACACAACACATCACATCACATCACAACACATCACAACACATCACATCACAACACACATCACATCACAACACATTACATCACAACACATCACATCACATCACATCACAACACAACACATCACAACACATCACAACACATTACAACACATCACAACACATCACAACACAACACATCACATCACAACACACATCACAACACATCACATCACATCACAACACATCACAACACATCACAACACATCACATCACAACACATCACAACACATCACAACACAACACAACACACATCACAACACATCACATCCTCTTGCACAAGAACACATGAACACAACACATCAACACATCACATCACATCACAACACATCACAACACATCACAACACATCACATCACAACACATCACAACACACATCACAACACAACACAACACATCACATCACATCCTCCTGCACACGAACATCTGAGGCTCTCGTTTGTTATGGTACAGTCCCAGATTCCCAGGGGAACAGCAGGTTGAGAAGCACTTCAGCAGAAGAGCGTGAATCTCACCGAGACGCCAGCACTCGACGGAGCTCCAGCTCATCACTCCTGAGGACAGCAGTGTGTAGATTCCTCCCGTTCAGAGGCTCCTCTGACCAAACACAATCACACACACACTCTTTTATTAGCATTTCCCAACTGAGGGAGTCTGGGAATGTCCCAAAAGGAGGTTTTATCAGATTTAGTTAATTTTGAAGGACAATTTTGTACACTGTATAGCACAACATTTACAGAATTGAACCTGACTGAATTGAAATGCATTTATTCATCATTATAAATGCAACATTCGTTCTTCAAAATTAAGGCACAGACAAACTGCAAATTAATATTATTTTATTCTTAATACATTGTTTACTGAGATTAAAATAATATTAATATCACATTAATTAACTACTACTTTGATTTTAAAAATACTTAAAACCTTCCAACTTTTCTGCCTAAGCTTTCTCAAGCAAACGTCAAAGTTTAGTTTAGACTCCAAGTCATTTGATTCTTATGAAATGTCATACAATAAGTCAGTGGTGAATGTGTTGAAGTCAAGTTGTGTGTCCTTACTGTCTGTTGAAGCAGAGACCGATGGGTAATACTTCTGCTGACCCGACGGCCACGTGACCTTCAGTCTGAATGTGTAAGTGGTTTTCGGTTCGAGATTCTCCACCGTGAAGCTTGTGTTGAATCCCCTAAACATGTCATAAACATTCAGAAAATACTCAACCCAGAACTGTTGCATGATCAGCATTTACAGAAAACTCATTTAAAGGTCCACTATACTAAATCAGAAATGAAATATCGCATAATTTACTCACCCTCAAGCCATCCTAGGTGTATATGTATATATTCTTCTTTCAGCCAAACACAATCAGTGTTATATTAAAACATATCCTGGCTCTTCCCAGCTTTATAATGGGAGTGAATAGTAACTGAGATTTTGAAGCCCACAAAAGCACATCCATCCATCATAAAAGTAACCCTTATGGCTCCAGGGTTAATAAAGGCCTTCTGAAGTGAAGCAATGCGTTATAAACTATAATCACTGGCTTCCGGGAATGGCCGCACGCGAAATATATATCCGTCCGTCTAGTTCTGGTGGAAGAGTGACCTCTGACCCGACGCATGACGTATTGACGAATACGTAGAGCAAAAAAAAAAACTAACAATGGTCACAAATTAGAAGTCTAAAACAAGAATTTTTAAAGTCGGCATGAAATCAAATTTGACAAATCTTCTTTTTATATGTAATATTGTAGTGTTTATTATAAATTATTTATCTGTGCACTTCATTATTTTTTTTAAATTCATGTACCCTTATAATCTTTAATCAAATACATTACCCTTCCCTCCCCCCTCGAAACGACCTCTCTTCTCTTTCGGTCACGTGCAATGGCGAAAGGGTGCGGCCAGAGCCGATGAGGGTGCGGCTATCGGTGCACCCCTCTCAGAGAAGATACATTCAAATCTGCCTCCATTTTGTTTGCAACGCCCAACCTCCAACAATCCAATCAATTCCCGAAGGACAAAATCAAGCCCCGCCCTACATTTTTTTTCTAATTTCAGAAGCCGTTTCACTCGGATATACGTCACAACAAGGAAAAAATGACAATCTCAACTTCCGTTTCATGCCGACTTTAAAGAGAAATGTGGGAGGAGCTTGAGTTTGTTGCCCAGCCCTGTTTGTTTGAACCGTGAGAGGCGTTTACTCTCACCTAAGCTTACACTACTCCTACATCTACATCATGCGTCGGGTCAGAGGTCACTCCTACATCTACATCATGCGTCGGGTCAGAGGTCACTCCTACATCTACATCATGCGTCGGGTCAGAGGTCACTCCTACATCTACATCATGCTTCGGGTCAGAGGTCACTCCTACATCCTACATCTACATCATGCGTCGGGTCAGAGGTCACTCCTACATCTACATCATGCGTCGGGTCAGAGGTCACTCCTACATCTACATCATGCTTCGGGTCAGAGGTCACTCCTACATCTACATCATGCTTCGGGTCAGAGGTCACTCCTACATCTACATCATGCGTCGGGTCAGAGGTCACTCCTACATCTACATCATGCTTCGGGTCAGAGGTCACTCCTACATCTACATCATGCTTCGGGTCAGAGGTCACTCCTACATCTACATCATGCTTCGGGTCAGAGGTCACTCCTACATCTACATCATGCGTCGGGTCAGAGGTCACTCCTACATCTACATCATGCGTCGGGTCAGAGGTCACTCCTACATCTACGTCATGCGTCGGGTTAGAGGTCAGAGGTCACTCTTCCGCAGGAACTAGACTTACGTACTGCCGTTACCCGGAAGCCAGTGATTATAGTTTGTAAAGTTATAAATATGGATATTTTTCTTACAAAAACGCATCGCTTCGCTTCAGAAGGCCTTTATGGAGCTGTATGGATTACTTTTATGATGGATTTTGGGCTTAGAAAGTTCGATTCACTCCCGTTGTAAAGCTGGGAAGAGCCAGGATATTTTTTTAAATAACATGGATTGTTTTTGGCTGAAAGAAGAAAGTCATACACACCTAGGATGGCTTGAGGGTGAGTAATTTTTGGGAGAACTAACCCTTTACATTGGTCTGTTATGACTCATGAGTGCAGGCCTCACTTGTGTATCTCTTTATACGAGTGTTTTCTGGCGTTCTTCTGTTCGAGGATGAAGCAGGTCCAGTGGTCCGGTGGGTCTCTCCATCTCGTCCAGATGAGCTCAATGCTGTGATGACTCACCTGTCCTGCGGTCAGAACCCCACCTGGACACGCGGAGGAATGTCAATGTGATCATGAGCGTCACGTGCAACACTCGACCACTAGACGGCGCCAAAAAGACAAACATGACTGGAGTTGCAGCTGAATTATTTATATTATTTCCCTAATTATTAATCTGATTAACCATTTAATTTTCTTTAAAAACTTTGTAATAAAATAAAAAATACTCTTATAATAAATATTATATATTTTATACTATATAAATATTCTTATTTCTGTTTCAAAACAATGAAATGCAGGTGCACAAATTACTGATGGTTTAACTAATTAAAATGTCTGAACCCATTTTTTTTTTATTAAAAATGGGTTCAAAATGGGTAAAATTAAAAAATAACATTTTTTTGTTGATTATTATTGTAATAGTTTATTTATATTTTATATTTGTGTATATTTGTATTTAATTAAAATATAATATAATACATTTTTAATTTATTTATTTGATATACTATTCATTTATTTGTTTTATTTAATGAAATAAATTATTTATTTATTTAATTTAATTAATTATTATATTTTCAGTAAATCTGTCGTTTTAGAGCCAGACATTTAACATTATTAGGCCTTAACAGTTTTAACTGGCGAGGTGTTCATAATCATATCTACACATTATACAACTACAAAAGGAGTAGGCTAACTAGAAATATGGTCAAATGCATATTACCTGCAGGATCCATTGGCAAATCAATAAATAAATCGATCCAGGTGGTTATTTTTAAAGGCTGTATTGCTTGTTGTATGTTACTGTTGCTATAGCAACACAAGTGAAGTGTGTGGAACACTCATGATGATTAGATCTTTAACATTTTATATAATGCTGGGAGGCCGGGGCTAGTTGTCACACTTTTTAGTGAACATTTCTTATCGACAGTTAAAGTTTATTTGTTATATTCAATTAATATATAGCCGATGTATAAAATAAAATATCTGTTTATGATGGTGATGACAGTATCATACTCTCATTCACCTGTGGTTGTGTATGTATCTGTGTGATCATGCGCAGCTGCGATGTGAATTAACTGGATTAACTGGGCAGGTCACGCGCCCGCGGTCACGACAGCGCCCCTGAGCGCGCGCACGAGAGCGCACCAGCGTTTCCAGACAGTGCTGTGAGATTTCCAACACGTAGCTATCCAACTATAGCGAGCTTTTAAGGGTGTTTAGGACACGTGCACGAGCACAGAGGTGTGAAGCATCTGATCGAGTGAGTTTATAATAATCACATGTGTCCAGTATGGCTGGAAACAGTGAGATATCAGAAGGAGAACTCAAGAGAGAGGAGGAGGAGGAGGAATCTGACTGTGATCTGTTCGAGTTTGGAGATGATCTGGAGCTCAATCAGTTTGATGGACTGCCATACTCGTCCAGATACTACAGACTCCTGCAGGAGAGGAAAACTCTGCCTGTGTGGAAATACGGACATGAATTCATGACTCTGCTGGAAAAGAATCAGATTGTTATAGTCTCAGGAACAACTAAGACTGGCAAAAGCACACAGGTGAGCATGCTTATTTAAATCACGCTTTTAGTGTATTTACACATCACTGTGTGCTCTTTTTAAATGTCAAAATGCTAAACTTTTTAATGGGTTTAACCTATGACGATTTGTTTACTATAGGCCTATTTATATGTTTCTTACTGTCTAAAATGTGCCATTGAGTTTACATTTGGCTGGTGTTGAAGTTCAACTGCGAACAAGCCGAGACACTTCATTCACATTTGAGTAATCTCAGGAAAGTGTGTAAATATAGCATCAGTTTTAACTTCGGCACATTAATAAGAAGCACTAAAAATAGTCTAGAGAAACATAAAGCCTGCACACTGCCATGAGTTTGAGAGGTTGAACTTCTTGCTTTACTGTTCATTGACCAGCACCTCATCTTTACTATAGAAATCAATATGCTTTTGGACTGGACTGAGGTCTGGCACTGTTGTATAGTGTCAGTAATAATAAGTATTGCTTTATTATTGTCACTTTGTGGGAAAATTAAAGTAGGCTATGTCTGTTAATTGTTTTGATAGTGTTTTATGTCTAAGCAATTGAGAAAAGGGCCTATTCTACATGTCTTGGAATAATAACTATGCATAATGAATCCAAATCAATGATGTAATTTATTATTTATGTCTTGTATCAAAACTTGTATTGGACTAATGAGCAGTATTTAATGTATTTTTTATTTTAATTCAGTAAATCCCTCTTCCAGTTCAAAATCCTGCAGTTTGCGGGCAATTTCATTTAGATTCTAGAACATAATAATAGATAAACTAAACACTGTTTCTCCATTGCATGATATGAGTCTCAGACCTGCTGTTTGCATTTGGCCTCATCGTGATTCTTAAATCTGAGCAAATATACTTTACTAATCGTTTTAAATGAGGTCATCAGTTGTGTATCATGAGAATGTTTGCTGTGGAGGGAGTCAGTCAGCTACAACCATTGTGTTTGAACAAATAGTGTTCATTCAGCGGAGGACAAAACTTTGTGTTTATATAATAAATAGGCATGTATGTGTATGTGTGTGTATATATATATATATATATATATATATATATATATATATATATATATATATATATATATAATAAATGAAAATGTATATACACAACTATATATATATATATATATATACACACACACAAACATATATATATATATATATATATATATATATATATATATATATATATATGTATATTGATGTGTGTTATATATATATATATATATATATATATATATATATATATATATATATATATATATATATATATATATATATATATATATATATATATATATATAAACTCTTATGTTAGCAGCAATTAATTTGACAGCACTATAAATAAGTTAGTGCTAGGTTTAAAACAAGATCAAAATACATTTCTCTGAAAATATGAATATCTTATTATGAAGTCTTATAATCTTGTGCAATTTTTCTGTTTTAAGAATAGTTAAAAATAAAAATAAGAATAAAACAAAATAAAATGTGAGGAGATTTTTGTCTGACTAAACTTTTTTTTTCATGCCCTAGGCTAATTATGAGTCCTGAATTACAGCTGTCATTTAAATCTTTTTTTTAAAAGTGTCAGCTTAATTTATTTATTTTTTGTCCTTGAATGGATGCCTCTGTTTCTAAATGGTGAGATACAGTATACACTTCATCTTTACAGTAATCTTCTGAAAGAGTCAAAACCTTTTATTTGTTGATTTTGCATTAATGCATAGCCTATTCTGGCATAATGATTTTGCAGTTTGTAAATGTGTATTAAGTAGAAATAGGAAGCCGGGCATCTGTTAAGTTGACCTGACCTGTCCTTAGCAGATGCCCAGACATCTCAAACCTGCAGCTGTTACACAGTTGAGGACAGATTTTAATGTCGACCGCCGGCAGAGAAAGACTGACACCAAAGCAGTGTGTGTGGCACAGAGAGAGAGGAGAGCAACAGGCTAACAGTTGTCATCATTGTTACCTGAAGGCTTCCACATGCACTATAATAGTGTGTTTTCCCTGTCCCGTAGATCCCTCAGTGGTGTGCAGAGTTCTGTCTGTCTGCGCAGTACCAGAACGGTGTGGTGGTGTGCAGTCAGATCCAGAGACGACAGGCTGTAGATCTGGCCCTCCGTGTTGCAGACGAGATGGACATCAACATCGGCCACGAGATCGGATACAGCATCCCGCTGGAGACGTGCTGCTCCAACGACACTATTCTCAGGTCTGTGTGAACTCGCACGCAGCCCAAAAGTGTGAAGAACCGCACTGAAATGCTCACTATTACCAAAGGTTTTCAAGTTGGTGATATTTTATGTTTTGTGGTTTGGTTTGCCCACTTAAAGTATGAAGAGAATGTGCTGTCTCCTCAATGTGAGGCCTTTTTGCTTTATTATACGGGTCACTGGAGTTCAGGAAGGCATTTCTCTGGCTATGGAGGACTTCCGAATAATCTGTGCCAATATTTTCTAACTTTTGTCATAGAGATTTGACCAAAATATAGTGTTGTGCTGCATGTTTTATAATAATTCTAATTAAAAATGTAATAAAAAAAAATATATATCAATAATACCTTAAATTAATTTACTGAGAATTAATCTGGTTTAACCTGTCAGATGATAAATCGCATAGTAAAATTGGTTTGTTTTATTGTATTTAAATGTTTCTAATCAAATATGTCTTATTTTAGTTTATTATAGAAATGTGCCTTGTTAAACAAATAATAAAAGAATAAGGCACATTTTATTTTAAAAAGCAATGTGTCTAATCACATCTTTTATTTTTTATTTGTATTTTATTATAGAAAAATCTAGTCAAATGTCTAAAACCTAGTGCTATCAAATCAATTAGTTGTGATTAATCGCATCTAACATACAAGTTTGTTTATATATATATATATATATATAATTTTATATGCACACATATTATATAAACACAAACTTATGTTAGATGCAATTAATCGTGATTAATTGATTTGACAGCACTACTAAAAACCTATTAATAAAAAACATTAGATAAAAATCCATATATTATTTTATTAAGAATTGTCTAATCAAATGTCTTTTTTCATCAGTCAAACATGTCTAAACCTCTTAATAAAAAACTATAATAAAAGAAAAATCCATATTTTAATTTATTTTGTCTAGTCAAATATGTCTCAAAACCAGTTTATAAAAACATATAATATAAGTTGTTTTTTGCACTTGTTTTTGCACATATTTTTGTTGAACAGGCCACCGATAATGCTGATAATGCATTATTGCAATAATGTTGTTGTTGTTTTTTTTAATTTGCCCACCTATTTTGTAGCATATTTATCTATAAATGTCAAAAGCAAATGTCCGTGGTTTGTTGCAGGTACTGCACTGATGACATACTGCTGCGTGAGATGATGTCAGACCCGATGCTGGAGCATTATGGGGTGGTGGTGATAGACCAGGCCCACGAGAGGACCGTGAGCACTGATGTTCTCCTGGGTCTGCTCAGAGAGGTGCTTCTCCAGCGGCCCGAGCTGCGTGTGGTGGTCCTGTCCGCGCCGCCCGCCTCAGACACTCTCCTCACACACTACGGGAACGTCCCGCGCCTGCAGGTGGAAGCCCCGGGCGCCGGTGAAGTGATCCACAGCAACAGCAGCGGTTCTGAGAGCTTCTATTCGGCTCTGAGACTCGCTCTGGAGGTCCATCGATCCAGAGAGCCTGGAGACGTAGCTGTGTTTTTAGCTTCTGAGCAGGTGAGGTGACGTCTGCTGGTGCATTACAACAGCTCATGTACTTTTTATGTAATGCATGTTATTGGAGCAAAAATGTAAGCATTTGGGAAGTTAACCAGAGTTGTTGCAAATTCCACCCTAAGCAGGGATGATTTATGAACTGGAGCTCATGTTTAGTCTTCTAAGGGTGTATTCACACCTGCCTTGTTTGGTTCGATTGAATCGAACTCTAGTTCGTTTCCCCCCTTGGTGCGGACCTTTTGGGCAGGTGTGAATACAGCAATCGAACTCGGGTGCGGACCAAACAACCGAACCGAGACCCAGCTGAAGAGGTGGTCTCGGTGCGCTTCCAAACGAACTCTGGTACGGTTCGTTTACGGTGTGAACATGAACCGACCCAATTGCAAGAAAGCACTGCGCCTTTGAGTTAACAGGCTTCCGTAGTCGGAGATTTTGGCATAATGGTTTGTGTTGTTGTTCAGTACGCGCTGTCTGGCCACACGATACTGTGGCGCGTCTTTCTGCGCGTCGTGTGTGTGCGTCATTGGAATGGAATGAATGAATGAGTGTGTGCATCAGGACATTCACATACAGAGCGTTCTCTTTAGTCTAATCGCGCATAGATGCAAAAAAAGCTTTTGCAGTTCATATAATGTAACGATATACAAGGATGACGCTGCATTAAACTGGACAAACTTAATCGCAAGCGTTAACATGGACAGCACTTGTTAGCAGTATATACAATAAGAATCTCATTATTTGAATGTGTGAACATAGCCCCTCTCTATGAATGAAAACTTT